ATGCTTCAACATCTCTACATTGAAATTTGCTCAAATTGGCTTTCTTGGCAAATATAGCTGCAGTTTAAATTTAACTGTACACTGTAAATGTAAGCAAAAGTCTGAAACAATAATAATATTTGTATTAATGTTTGCTATTTAGTTTGTTCAGGATCAGAGTGTATTGCTGTAAGAGCAAAATATATTGATAATAAATCATGGTTAGGGTTATGAGATAAATGAAATGATCGCTCAAAGGGTAAATGCTTTGATCTTTTACCGAATTAAACTCTTTAACTTTTTATGTCCCAAGAGTGACCAAGATCAACTTTCGGATCAATCTAGGTTTCTGGGAAACTGCCCACCTACCCCTTCCCTAAGCTAACATTAACACTTCTTCTCACTTTGGGCAAAAAGATAGCTTAGGGGAGGGGTAGGTGGGCAGTTTCCCAGAAACCTATTAAATTGATCCCAACTTTCTTCTGATAGTATTAATACCAGAGATTCACAAGAAAGGTTTATGCGAACTAATTAAAGGACCAGTCCATCAAAGGGGAAAAAAATGCATTGTTCTCTTCACAATTCCTCTCGACAAATTCTATAAGGATAATGACAGTGTGTGCATCACACTCCATATATCAGTGGATTTTGGAGGTTTACGTGGCCTTTGAGGAGTAGTTATTTTAGCAGATAGGACAAAAATAATTGACGTTGCAGTTGTGAAGTGCAGACAATGAATAGAGGCTTGATTGTAAATTAAAGACAATTCATTCATAACAAAAATTGGCCTCTAAGACCCCCTTTCACTTTCTCCCGGCCTGTGCGCATTCTAACAGTTTTTTTCCTCGTTGACACGACAGTTCAAATTCGCAGTGTAGCAAGAAAATTGAAAGTTAAACTGAAGCAATAAATCAGTCAAGTTTTGTCATCTTACACACACACACACATTGTGTGAATGCCGACTGGAATCGACCGTTTTTTGTTATGCGAAAGCGGTTCTTTACTGTTACTGATCAAACCTGGCGGTTTCCACCCGTACCCAACTCTTTTGCCGCTTTCAAACATTTGAGACATTTCTGAGATCTCATTCAATATTAAGAAGAGGCATGCAAAAGCAATCGCTACACTTTTCAAATTAATAACCTTCTCAGTTTTTCTTGAAAACACTTCACACCACAGCTACATTATCAGTTAGACTAAATTACGACGTTTCTACACTTCGGTACTTCTTGCTTTTTGTACACGCTCATACAAATCTCCCTCTCACATCAAGTTAGTAGGGGATGAAAGCCGGAAAACATCAACGATGTAAACAACGGAGCTGCAGTTTATGTTGGAAGCTCCCTGACCGTACATAATCCTTTCTTTTTTTGCCAGTTTTGCTAACAAATTGTGACTGAATATATTAATGCGATTTTTCTGCGATGTTAGTAAGTTCAAAATGATAGGAATGCATGCTATTGAACGTTAATTGTGCAAGGTCAAGTCTGAAAAAGCTAACAAAAACATATAGCAAAGAAGTCTCTGCAAAAGCCATAATGGCATCCATATAGCTCTTGATCTTTGGGGCTTCATAACTATTCCACTTTATTAACCATGTTCACATGTAATCTTAACTTAAAAAAGTTATTTTTTTAGCATTCTGAAGGCAATGGCGGGCCTCTATATAATGGTTCTGTTTTCGTCCACCTGTATTTGAACGTACGGTAATTTTTCTTTAATTTCTCAGTAGTGGGGAAAAAAACGCTTTCATTCTTGAATGCAAACTGAGGGAAAATGTAAAAATAAACAAACCTTTAGAGAATACACAGATTTGTAAGCAAAGCTGCAGCGGATGATGTTGCTATCAAAGACAGATGTCCGGGTGTTCTTGTCAAACTTGTTACAGCAAACTCACACATTAGATTAGTATACCCTGAGTTTAATAAATCGTTTTCAAGGTCTGTTTAGTCAGTTCATATACGATACTTAACATTTACCGCTGCAGTATGAACATGATGTACTCAAGCCTTTTGGTGACGTTGTGCGGCGTCTTGGCTTCTTCGGTGGCTAGCCCCGAAGGTTGTTATGCTTTTTTTTATTATTCTGAGTTTTAGATACAGTCAAGAACGAACTGCTCGTGGTCTAAGCAATTACAATGTAAACATCATGATCATTTTAAACTTTTGACGAAATGCAATGACTCCTTCCACTGCACTGTTTATATTTTTATTTTTTAAGCCTTTTTTTTAATTCTACCTGTTAAATCACGCAATTAGTGTTTATAATGTACTCCTATTTATTACTCCTCGGTATTTCTACTCCTCAGTGAAATATTGAAAAACATGGCTATCAAAAACTCGGTTGCCGTGGCAATTTCAATGTCGATGCACACGTCAAGACGACTTAAAAATGTTCCCAGGTTATTTTTAGGAAAAGTCGCTATGTTTGGTAGTCATACCTTAAACGGTTTTGAAGTTAATCAACTATTTTGCGAGTGAGGGGGGCACGCCCAAAAGCCCCCCGGTCTGAATGGGTTAAGGAATAAGTACGGTTGGCAATCGGCTTTTATTTTAAGAATTAGCAAACATTGAAATTACTTTTCCCAAAAGTTCAAACTGATGATTCGTTCTACCTCAGGGCAATTCGTTGTCGAAAATCCAAAACAATTTAACACTTGAATTTTTAACGACTTTCTAGTTAGAGACTTCTGTTTCAACGATTTCTCTGAAATTTATCTGGCATAATTGTTATCTCAATAAAAAATTTTTCAGCCAAAAATCTCAGCAAATTTTTTTACTACAAGCGATTTTCTTGGAACAGTAGGCTCCCTCTACTCGCTTATTTGGTAAAAAATATTTACCATAAGTAAAATCGGATGTAGCTGTTGAGTTAGAAACAAAAAAAGGTTATGACGAAAAGTTCGTCAAATACGTTGTATAATAACAGTGCCACCTGAATAGTCCATAACAAAAAAACAACAAAAGGTTTAAACTTTCAGTCTGGATAAAAGTAGTCTTATATAAAGGTGTTTAAACAACTGCAACAGATGCATCCACAATTTTCAATGGCCAGCCTATTTACTACCTTTTTTGCTATCTCAAAGAAAGTTGAAAGATATTCCGCTTTACATCGCTGACATCGCATAGCCTGGCAGCGAAAATGAAGTTCCACTTTTTTGTGTTTTCTTATTTCTTGGCCTCCATCGTCGCTATTCCAAAAGGTTTACTAGATGTTTTTTTTTTTCAGCTTTTTTTTTTTTGCATTTGGAAATTTGGTTAGATAATATTTCTTTTTCGATCCGTTTCAAGAGAAAAAGGGGACACTATTCTTAACATACTCAGGCTCAAAGCTTGTTTTACTTGTCAATAGTTGCTCATGAAATTAGAACGCCCCGTTTGTCCTTTGAGAAATCGACAACAAAATGTTGCCAAGTATGCTGACATAATCTCCGTGCTTTATACAAATGTACATTTTTTATCGTAACAAGTTATTTCACTCTTACTTCATTGCTTTTTCAAGCCAATGTTAAATGTTTTACCCCTCCAATTTTTTTTCGCCAGATCCAAGCTGTGATTTTGAAAGGGATTTCTGCTCGTGGAAGCAGTTAACAACAGATGATTTTGATTGGACGCGAAATAAGGGGAAAACATCATCTGATGGAACCGGTCCTTCAACTGATCACAGTGGAAATGGTACGAAATATTGAATGTTTCTCAACTGACAAGAACAAACCTAATTCTAATTCAGTTGATTCTTTAAAGGTCCTTTAAGGGCTCTCTGTAACTCCGGAGCGCAATCAATTTATTGGACACAACTCAACTATTGGACACAACTCTTAGAAACTGAACTAACATCAACCTTGACTGTTACAAAGAATTCAAGGCTCGTTAGCAGTTGTGACACAGACGATTTTGCAGCCATGCTTTTGATGGATTTAGTCAATTTCAGCAACTCCTCACCCGAAACTCACTGTTTTGACCAAAAAAAAAAATTCCTCAACTTGAGTGTGAAATGGTAGCCCGCCGTCTCCTTCCTTTAACCTGGGGGCTAAAGTGCGAAGCATGAAAAGTTTCGCCAGTTTTATCTGACTAACGTGCGGTAGGTGTAGATATACATGTATACAAGAAAGAATAATGGAACAGAGAGAAAAACGTCCCGTCTATCTCTTGTGATATGTGAATTTCACCAAAGTTATTTTTAGACAAATTAAACGCCTCAAATTAATCAGAAGTTGGTTTCCGAAGAGGTTCGCAAACTTCTATTCAGTCAGTGTTGGCAAGGGGACACTATGCTCTGTTGGTGTGTCGCCATTACAAAATGATACAGAAAGTGAGTCTATTACAACCTACAGCTTCAAGATATATAAGAAAAAAAATGGTCCCCACGAAATAGCTAACCGTGTAGAGATTAAAATTTTACTTACTTATTACTAAGAGAGAATAAGGTACCTCATTCTCTCATGCACTAAAGTATTACAATGGTTCTCACCGAAATTAGCTAAATACGTGGCGGGCCGCTTTAATAGATGTATCTCCCCATGATAATCACAACAAATGTTGCGAAAATTCTAGATCTCAAATCGTCTTCCGAACAGATATTTTCCGAAAATTGACGTTGGGTGCCCCTGATAAACAGACAAGTCACTATAAAACTAGCAGATTAACATCTACGTTTCGGTAACATCGGGGCAACATCATCACACGTTTTTCTGCCTGACTGCCATATTACCCAAGCCCGTCTCAGAGGGTCGAGGCCGAAAAGATGTTGTCATTTTTGTTGTTGTATTCACTGACAGGCTATTACATTTACATCGAAACCTCCAGCCCCAGAGAAGAGGATGATATAGCTATGCTAAGATTTCAAGGCAAGAGCGACAAGCCCTCGGTTTGTCTTTCTTTCTATTTTCACATGTATGGAAATGACGTCGGCGAAATATACCTTTACAATCGTGGTAGGACAGTATGGAGAATGGCTGGGAATCAAGGCGATTTGTGGAGGAGGGCTGAAATTAAAATTACAGGAGACTATGACGTAAGAGACCACTGGAAATACAATGCAATACGATACAGTAAATTAAATATTAGTGTAATTTATGTAAAAGTGTAAATGTGAACAAATCCAAGAAATAGCAGCCGAAGTCAATCGAGTTAAAGATTAAGATAAGAAAGCTTGACGTCATAACAGTACGGCGCCAATATTTGTGTATCATTACAAAAGTAGAAACCATTTGGGGGTGCCAAAGCGAGTGATGTGGAATTTGAGCTCTTTTGTCATTTCAACAGGTTCTTTTGTTGAAATGATCTCGCAGAACTAGTAGGGAGGTTGGTAACTGAAAGCACTCCATTCATATGACCTCTCCTCCGCCCAGGCCTCTCTGTGTCGTAAGGAGGCTTGGGAAAGGAGGAAAAGAAAATGCCATTTTTATTGGAATACACAGCAGGACCTGCTGCGGAGGAGAGAGCTTTATACGCGCATCCCTCACCCCACCCCCTTTATGCACCAACTGCCCGAAATTGCCGGCCGTGTTTAGTAATTTGTCTACTAAAACTAAGTATCAAATTTTGTTGTTGAGAACAACTTTCAACTTTATTTACACTTCAAGTCTTATTTACTTTACAAGTTAGGTGAAATTAGGGGAGATAGGAATAGGCAGAATTAAATGGCTTTTGCGGAAGTGTACGGCTGAAGAAAGGAGCAGACCACCGCTTACAGGGAATATAAAATATAGACTGTGTCATGGCTAGCTAGAGAAGATAGTTACTTATAAGCATGTTGCATGTTATTGTGAGTTTAATAAAAATGTTTTGTGACTTTTAGTTGTTTTATGCGCAGAGGAAATTACCATATAATAGGTTTTTTTAAAAGTTAACAGCAAGTTTGTTAGCTGAACTTATAACCAAGAAAATACTCGAATTTTTATTATATAGTATTTTTTAGGTCTTGTGAAGGGTTGAAAGAGTAGGAACAATTTGGTGTCGTCAGCGAAAGTTCTAATATTACTCTTTTTCAAGCAATTGGGCATGCCGTTTAAATATAATAGGAATAATAGTGGGCCCAGGGTGGAGCCGTGGGGTAGACCACATTAGATGGTGAGCATTTTTGACTTAATGCCACTTTGTTCTTCTTTCCACTTAGCTTATTTTCCTCGCTGCGTCGGGAAAATCATACCAGAGTGACATTGCACTAGATGATATATCGGTAGCTGATGGCGAGTGCGGTGGAGTACCAACTCTACCTGCATACACACCGACGCCAAGCCAAGGACGTCCGATAGTTCCAGGTAAAGCGCTATATATTGTACAGTAGTTACCTTAAGTTAGAGACGGACCATTAATAAACTTATTAAAGGGAGGGGCGGGAGAGTTACCCAAAGATATTCGTGCAATTAACCCTTAAGAAAATAATTATGTACTGGCTTGAAAAAAATTCATTCAAGGAAAATGATAACGAAGAAAAAATCGACCATGCGGCTCAAAAATCCCCATAACAAGTGCAGATCCATCTTTGGTACTATTTCGAATCTATTAGGTCTGACTGATTGGTGTCAAAGTACGTACCCTCTTAAAGAGGGGAGTTCTTTAATAAATAATAATAATAATAATAATAATAATAAAAGCCTCGGAACTCACTCAGAGGAAGCAGCACTTAATGTGTTGTAGCTGTCAAATGATGTATAATATCAGTCTTAAACGGGTTGATAATTGCTTTGTTTACCTGCCGAAAAAGGAGTGGTATTCTGTAAGTTGAACCTTTTTGATTGTTTTGTGTTTTGATAATGTTATAGTTGTTTTTTTTTTCTTTTTCTTCTTTTCCTATTTAGTGAACTGTGGATCACGTCCATACGCTCGTATTGTTGGAGGTTCGAAAGCTTCTGTGAACAGCTGGCCGTGGCAGGCCATGTTAGCAAAGAAAGGCGGTTCCCAGTTTTGTGGCGGAACTCTCGTAGATCCTTTATGGGTTGTGACGGCAGCTCATTGTGTTAGACGTTTTTCCCCATCGAGCATATTCGTAAGGTGCAGTAATTCTTTAAGATAAATCTTATGTAAAAAAACAGAACTTGGTAATACACGCAGGAAAGGGAAAGAGGAAGGAGAAAAGCGGATATCGCAACTTTTGGAAGCGGTTAAAGGCCGCACTATAACATAATACCTTTACTCAGATAAACCATTTTTTAAGTTAAAGCTAAGTGGGTTGTTGGTTGTTTTCATGCTGTTTTATGTTTTCTTAAACCCTTTGTTTTCAACTTAAATCTTTCAATTCTCATTTAGAATGGGCGCCCATTACAGAAGGACTGGTTATGTTGGAACGGAACAGGACATCACTATTGAGCAAATCATTACCCACGAAAACTACCATACGCCGCTGAGATACAGCCACGACATTGCATTACTGAAGCTTGCGCAACCCGCTCGACTTGGTAAAGGAGTAGGTGTGGCATGTTTGCCTTATTCAAATGTTCCTCTACCTGAAGATGTTCCACACAAGAAATGTTGGGTCACTGGCTGGGGTACACTGGCTAGCGGAGGAAGCCAACCAAATGATTTGATGCAAGCATCAGTACCTCTTGTCTCGAAACAACGCTGCCTGAAGGCACTACCTGGACGGATTCATGACTCTATGCTGTGTGCAGGGTTTGACCAAGGAGGTGTAGATACCTGTCAGGGTGATAGTGGGGGACCTCTAGTCTGTGAGCACAATGGAAAGTGGTACCTGGAGGGAGTGACTAGCTGGGGTCACGGGTGTGCATCTCCAAACAGCTATGGAGTTTACGCTAAAGTTCGTATTCTTATGCCGTGGATAAGAGCAAAAATGAATTATGTAACTCCACCTCCAGAAATAATATCAAGTAAGTCATCACCTCTTTTACTTAGTTAACAAGCAAGCATTGCCCTCAAAGTCCTTAACCATTCCTGTCTATCCTGCAAACGTATTTTAATTAATTCATCGATTTTCGTGGTTGTAGATATGTGCAGTGTCAAGATTACCTTTAAAGGTAGTACATCAATCTCTCCGCTCTCTTAGATTACAGAATATTTTAAAACTTTCCCAAATTCGTACACCCAATTGGCAAAAAGACGTATTTATTAAGATGCCACTCATCGTTTGTGAGTTGACGTTTCATAAGTAACAAGGAAAAATAAGCTAAATAGTTCTCAATAAATTTGCATTGAGGTAGTGTCATTTCTCGCCCCGTACGTAGTTAAGCCTGCTGTCAGCTTTGTTTGTATTTTGTTTACTGTCTATCTCTTTTTTTTTTTTAGCCTAGGAATGAGCTTCACAATCGACAAGAGAGGGATTAGAAAAGGAATGGTTCATTCGTGCTTTAATGATTAAGAGCACTTTTGCATTTGAATTCATAAATCCTCAAAGCTAATTAAAAGTGAACAAGACCACAAATTTTAAGCTTGTGAATAGATGTTTTTATTATGATTTCTTGTTATTTTACACTCAAATGATCGCGCATACTGTAAATGACTTATCTACCATTCCCAACCCACTTTATTTTCAAACCAAAGTCCGATCCACCGCTCTCTTTTAACACCAGAAATAACCCTCTATGCCATGCAGGCAGAGGTTTCTTCTCGGCGTGGTTTTTAGAAGTTACGAAGTCGTTCGCGTCGTGACATTCGTGTAGTTGGACGTAGAGAATGAACAGCGACGCGATCGACTTTGTGAATGCTAAAAAATATATCATGCCCTGACTGAAACCTCTGCTACTAGGGTAAAACCCCTAGCACCCTAGCCTTTCTAAGTTTAATAGTGATTTCCTTGTTAAAACTTGGAAACCGTTTAAAACTCTGCGAAAACGCGAGATTTTTTCTGGTGTGAAGTGTGGCAAAAACGCATGTACAATCTAAAAATGGTACTGGAAAGAAAGTTAACTGAAAAACTAGGAATATTGTAGATGATAGAGCAGTCATTCATTCAAAGTTAAGATTTTGGAGTTATAGCTTTCGTGACTAGCTGGTACAGATTTGATTCTTCGATCAGAGCGTTTAAATGCAATATTCGTTGGATGCAGCTAGGTCATAATTCTGCCTCTCAGGCCCCATATAGTAGGTCCACATCCTGGGGAGGTAGTCCATATAAAGGCCTATGCTTAGTCTAATAGACGGCATCATACGAAAGTGGGACCTATTCAATCAAAAATGGTATAGGTAAGAGATAGAACCTCTGGCGGCGCGGGGCCTCCTCAAATAGAACAATGTTCAGTCCCTGGGGTTTGGGGCTTTCTTAGGCTGGAAAACTTAACTTAACAGCAAAAATCGGCCCTTAAAAACATTAAATGGTGTTTGACAAAACCCATTCTAAGGCGCTGAATCTTTTACAAGGATTATAGCAATACTTTTTTTTCTTGTGGAAGTAGGCTCAGTTTGCTGCTCTTCAAAGCCCTTTTGTTTCCAAAGTGCCATTAAGAATATTTTTGTTTGAGTAAAAGATGTATTTGTAGAAAATAATGGTCCATCTGCTTAGTCAATAAGTGCTGTGTTTGTGCAGGAAGCGTTCTTTAATTACTATTTTTGCAGAGGGAGACAAACACAAATAGATTGCACTTTTAAACGCCAACTTCTGATCACCTCATAACGTGAAAAAACAAATCTACACTTCATAATGCAATGCCATTTTTTAAGGACGAAGAATTATTATCTAAAACTTAGAATCAAAATTTTGTGCCTCTTTAAATCTTTTTTTTTTTCTAGATTATGGATTGTGGGTTTCATGGACGGGGAAGGGGAGGAGCCACGAGTTAGGAAGCGCGTGAGAAAGGATTGGTATAATTGGCCGTTTTTATAGTAGAGGACGCATTATCCGTCTGGACGAGCTTGGGCAAACACTTGTAGTTCGTCTGGTTATGGGTCTCATGAATAAAGACGGGGCACAAGACGCAAGGACTTTTCTTCGAAATATGTCTTGAACTACGCACTACGAAAGGTAGTTCGTCTGGACGCTTAATGCGTCTTGTGCCTGTTTTTATACTAGAGACGCATAACCAGGCGAACAGCAAAAATGTTTGCCCAGTTTCGTCCAGACGGATAATGCGTCCTTAGTATAAATACGACCATTGTCTAATTTGTAAACCAATCGTCGACCCACAAACTACTGAGCCCCGGATTAGCCGCCATGCAAATGTTTGTGCTTGATTTTCCTCTTTCTCGACCAATATATTTTATCGCTCTTCGATTTTTATGAAGACTTTTTATTTTCGACTTTTTCCGACTTTTTTCTTGACGTTTTTCCTCGACTTTTTTCTACCTGCTGATCACATTTATTACAGACTCATTCCTGCGTATTTGAGAAGTGCTGAAACGTGGCAGGTTTGATTCTTGGCTTGGTAACTCTTTTATTTGTCGCACAGTGTTGTGCAGTTTTACAACAAGGAAATGCTGCATGAGCGCGGAGCTGTTACTGAGAGTTACTACTTTTTTTCACATAAACAGCCTGGTGTATTACAATTATCAAAAGACGATAGTTTTAGATGTCTTTCTAGCTGTTTTATGCCACCTAAATTTCACATTTTCTCGGGGGATCATCCCCCCGGGTTCCTGCTCCCCCCCCTCCCCAAAGTGGCCCAACCTGCGCATGCTCTTCAAGATTTGTATCTTATAAGCCCATTTATTTCCAAAGAGCTATTAAAAATTTATCGTTTGGTTAAAAGATGTATATTGCTGTGAAAGAAATTAAACGAAGAAAATAATGGTCCATCTGCCTAGTGAGTAAGTATTATGTTTGTGCAGGAAGCGTCCTCTAATTACTATTTTTGCAGAGGGACACAAATACAAACAAAATGCACTTAAACGCCGCATAACTTCTGATCACAGAAATGATTCGATAGTAATGTGATGGGAAGAAAGAATATACACCACATACTGTTGAACCTGTTAAACCATTTTTGAAGAAAGAAGAATTATTCAATATTGAAAAATGGAAAGCAAAATTTCGTTTCCCCTTTTTTTGATCTAAGTTTTTGATTTTTTTAGCTAGGAATCCGGATTGAGAGAATACAAATTTAGAACTTCATACATGAACTTCCTAAACTATCAACAAGAGAAGCAAACTTTGATTGTTTAAAAGTAAATTGTGACGTCAATTGGGGTTAATGCGTGTGTGCTCATGTTTTAAAAAGGGTTTTTAAGTGTTGCTACAACTTGCTCGAAATTATTTGTTTTTCTCCTGCTTATAAATTAAAGCTTAATTAGACTGATCTCACAGTTGCTTCGGGTCCTTTGGCGAGAATGTTAACTACCGGTATCCTGTTTTTAAGCCTTTGGGCGGTTTCAAGTGCTCAAGGTAAGTCTTTCGCGCGAATGATATCTTTTTCAGTCCTCTGACTTGTCTGTATTGTGGATTTTTGTCTTATCTATATTTGTTGGACTTTAAAGGGTCATTCATTTACAACAGCAGCACCCAACGACTTTTTTCAGCAAAATAACGGTTTTCCTAGTAATTTCTTAGCTCGAGAAAAGCTAAAATATTGGATAACCGATCCATTCGTCAATGATATTCACTTCAGGCGGTTGTCTACCTTACTTACGATTTTCGAAAGTTGCGTTTTCACATTTTATTACACATATATTGCAATTATTGTTACAAAAGGTCTCTTGAAAATTTCGATCGGTGTAAAGACAAAACGTCCCATAGAATCGAATCTTCTCCGATCTCCATGTCCTCGAATTTTGCCTGCGGGCCCAAGGGCAGCTAACAGTTTCGGATGGGACGGAAAAGCAACCTAAAATTTTGGAGACAACCAATAAAGTAAAGTTCCCCTAAGACATACAAACCGAGAGAGAATGAGGTAAGAGAGCGAATCCCCGTGCCCCATGATAATTATTTTAAATCTTTTTTTAGTTCGGTCCATACCGCGAAGGTTATTTTTGAATTTTGTTCTTATGATCACGCGGTCTAATTTTACGTGGATCATCAAGGTATCAGTTATTACAGCTCGCTTGTGCGTGCTGCGTGGACGCTGTCAGTTGGCATGAAATCATCCATTTTTCCAATGTAATCATAACTATAACAAAATTCTCAAATCTGATTGGTTCTCAACTGCCCTGATTTCAGCCTTAATAGGACAGTTTAATAGGACAGTACGCGTCATGCCTAAGTAATTGGAAAGTACGCGCCATCACGCGCGCGCTTAAATGGCTTTTTTTTTCATAGCTAGCGAAAAAATCTTGGAATTTCTTGTGTTTTGATTTAAAAAGAGCCCTATATATCACAAATTTTGTTAAAGTTATGATTAATTTCCAATTCGGTCTGTAATCATACTCGTGATTAAACAAATCGGACTCCCGCTACGCGGTCGTCCGATTTTGTTAATCACTCGTATGATTACAGACCGAATTGGACTCCGCTCAGTCCTGTTACCATTACTAATCATGTAGCAAGGCCCGGTTCATTAACAATGCGTACACTCGAAACAAACAGATAAGTAGTGTTTAGGACAGTTCCATGCAAATTAACCAAGCAGGCTTCTGAAAAAGAGAGAGACAACCATGTAGGACACTTCCGAAGTATCTAGAAATAACTGGTCATTGCGTGTCTCTGATTCACAATTCAACTTAATTTCTCTGTATCGAGCTGTACCCACAAGTCGGTTACCGTTACGGGGGTCCGAGTCATGCGGAACGTGAAACATAACGCGGAAAGGCGCGCGGGTCGCTGTTTTAGGTAACATTCTGAGCAAAAAGCTCCTGGCAAATTTAGGGTCATAACTTAGTGCTTTTAACCATCCGAAAATATTCTCGTACCGTTTATGAAGAAAAATTAAATGCAGAACAAATTTCATCATGGAAGTTCATTAATACTAACCATGGCAGACACAATTTTTTAGTGATTTTTGCACAAAATAGACGAATTTCCTGGCCAAATGACATTCTTTATAAATTTTGAAAAATTTTTATGCAGAAATATGCCTTGTTAATTTCTTTTGCGGAATATTCTGGGTTTCCTGAGACCAAAATATTTTTTTTCTGAAAATTTAATTTTTGCCCTTTCCAATGAGGTATAGCTTTATATGGAACTGTAAATAACAACAGAGATATATATTTTTTTTAAAGTTGCATTGTCAAAAATACTTTCAAAAAAAAGGAGGAAGACAAGGAGTTAAAAGTTTAAAAAGTTGGCCCAAATGTTTCAAGTTTCAATCCACCTTCACCCTTACTATCCTTAGCAAAATGAATGTCTGATGATAATGATGATTAAATTCTGCAAGCAGAATACTGCAATGCTGATCGTACTACGTGACACGACACCGAAAGAACTCTAAGCAGAGCGGGATTGTAGCCATAGACAGCTGTTTCGCCGTCTTTGGGGCTCGTCAGTATGGTGTAATAACAACCAGAGATCAGGCTCTGATGAAAAATATCGGCGCACTCTGATTTTAGCCCTGACCTAGCACCCCTAACACCCAAAGAATCACGCTATATCACGTGTATTCTTAGGGGCAAGAGTCCAAGTGTCAAGTTGTTAATGATGATGATCATTATTGTTAATTTTATTAATAATATCATTATTTTTTTTTCTTTTCGTTTAGTAATAGTACTATAAGGTATTGTAGTGATGCAAAAAGGTGTTAGATAAAACAGGAAATAGTCTCAATCTTATGCCTAGATCAGTATCCGGTTGTAAACAACAAAAGTGGACCATGATGCGAAGACGGGTTTTAGCTATTTAAAAAGGTAGCAAACGTGATATAGCACCTTTAAATCTGTATCCTCCTGCTAGGTCTCTTGTGCGGTAGGAAAGGAAAGCCGAGAATCGTCGGTGGATCGGCGGCTGAGGAAAACGAATGGCCCTGGCAGGCGCTCTTAATGGACAAACGGAAAAATCAATTTTGCGGAGGTTCCCTGATTGGCTCTCAGTGGGTGTTAACCGCTGCACATTGCATTGACGGCGAGAGTACAAAGACTGTACAAGTTCGGTAATTTGATTATCATTTCACTGAGAAGACTGAACTTCTTGAATGTGACGTGTTTCCCTGTTTACTCATGGGATGTTGGAGGGGATGTCAGATTGGTACGGAAGTGCCATTTTGACTAACCCGCATTGCACACTAACGAGGTGTACCAGTCCAAGTTTTATAATTGTCCTCTTCTTTTCTGCAAAATTTGTTCTGCTGTCGTTATGTGAAATATTGAAATGACACAATTCACATAGACTACGAGTAGTCCCCGTTTTTCCTTAGGGATAGTAGAGCGGGCGAAACGCGAGCGCACGTACTCGTAGTCCGTACAATTCACACCAGGTACGTGCTCTCACTCCTCCTTAGGCACTTCCTTTCTCGCACTTCAAGTCGCAAACAAAAGCAGTCTTGAAACACGAGTGAATGGTAACGAAACACTACTGGGAAGCACGGGAATACAAAAAAGAGAAGCGAATCGTTTTCTCCTTCCCACCTTTCTTTGCGCGCAAATTTTGAGAGCGAAAAGTCTGGGAACGAAGCAGACTCGTGTTAATGTCTTGAGACAAAGTTATTTGATTTATTTTAGATTAGGGTCACATAAACGAAAACAGCAGAAACCAAATGGAATAGTTCAGGATTTCAAAGTCATTCAAATTATCAAGCACTGGAAATACAACAAAAGGACTCAAAGCAATGATGTGGCTTTGCTGAAGTTGGATCGAAAGGCCAAGTTAAGCAGGTAAGCTCGGGGGAGACGAGGCAGAATAAAGTAAAAACTGATATCACTACTGAGTCCTATTGATTAACAGAATTAAAAGTACGAGGATCATCGCAGCTTAAACGCAACTTTTGCAGTTACTAAATGAAAGTCTGAACAAATTCAGGCTTCCAATTCTTGACCTCGGCGATACTGGCGCAGCGCTTTACCAATTGAGCTTACCAGCCAACTTGAAGCAGGCCATTGAATTGGCTCATTATTATTATTTTTTTTCCATTGTGTCATTCTTTTTGAGGGTTTATGACAAATCAACTTTGGGTGGACTTACAATGCTCTAGCTTCCCTAATGTTCAAAGATGCATGCTTAAGTCATGCAAAGCACGTGGCGGCTCTGAACCCGTTTGAAAGTGTTATGCGTTTCAGACCGAACAAGAATTTTGTACCAAACCTAAAGGTCTATGTGACGGTGTTTTCACAAGCCGGTTTATTTTCAGATACATTTGCCAAGCACTTTTTCCTGCCAAGATGATGCACGCGTTTGAAGTATAAGATATCAAAGAGGAAAACTAAACGTAATTAAAAGGCAAAAAATACTTAATCTTTAGGCTTTGCTGACAAGTTTGTGCTGCCCTTGAAATGAAATGTGTATAACGACTTGCGTTCCTCCCCCATCCCATTTCCCGCTTATCTGGTGCTTTGCTTCGAACCCCCGATAACTCTACCTTTATTCGATTTCCCTTGAAGGTTCGCGTTATCGGGAGTCGACTGTATCATACGCTCCTCTTGACTTGAATTTGCAGAGAGGTGAACCTGGTGTGTCTTCCGGAATCTGTCCCAGATCCTAGCCATGGTCAGAAATGTTGGACAACAGGCTGGGGAACTACAGCATCAGGCGGATCACAACCTGATGTCTTACATGAAGTAGAAGTACCAGCTGTATCCCACGCTATTTGCAACCAGGCTTACAAAGGAAAGATAGACAAGACTATGATATGCGCTGGTCTGAAGCAAGGAGGAAAAGATGCCTGTCAGGGAGATAGTGGGGGACCATTTGTTTGTGGTGTAGGAAATGGAAATAATGAAAGGTGAGTAAGTTGAAAGAAAACGTCTCATTAGCACAAAACTCAGAGAACTGAAGGCAATCGGGTCAATTCAGCAATACAGGGACGAAGACCCGGTACATGTTTCTCGAAAGTCACGATAATTAACTGGCCGGGAATGCTCTTGTTGTTTGATACAAAATGTGATGATGAATTTTAAGCCATCACATTTCTATCATTTTAAGCTTGTATCGACATGCCAGTCCTAGCAGTATGCAGGATGCTTGCCACATGAACCGATTTCAGTGGCCAAAGCTCGCACGAGTCTCAAGCTGTAGCGTAGTGGTAGAGCATCAACCTGGACTAGTAACCAGAATTACGGTCATTGGCTCTACTCCTGCTAGGAGTACTCAGATTTTTTCTACTTAGTCGCCTGTCTGGGCCTTTCGAGAAACGGGCCCCAGCCAGTAGCAATAATGAGGGACAGAGTAGTAGATTTATATATACATGATTCTAAAAAGGTTGCTTACTTGGGCATTTGTCTTTAAGCACTGAGGCACTCAGTTTTGTTTGGCGGCCACTCTAGCAAACCATTACAGTAGTGAGTTCCGTTGGCCCAATTAAAATGCCCAATACCCAATTGTTAATGATCATTTGTCAAGGCAACCTTTTTATGGCAGTGATATCCATAAAACAAAATCTGCAATATGAATTGTGTTTTTTATAACGTATATCCAATGAGCTGTTTGCACATTGCGAGAGTTCATGCAAAATAAGTACTAATTGCTAAACGCTGTCTTTTGCATTCAGATTTTACCTACATGGTGTGACCAGCTGGGGTTACGGTTGCGCTGACCCAGATGCGTATGGAGTATATGCTAAAGTGTCTGTATTTATGAAGTGGATAAAAAAACGAATGGGAAAACCGCAAAAGCCTAGACCAACTATGGCTCCATCTTCCACCGTTCAGCCTCCAGCATCCCCATCCACTCCTTCCGGTAATTAAACTGCCCATAACCTAATTTAGTTTTTCATAATTTTTGTGGCCTTTGTGTATAATTATACACAATTGCTGTCATAGAATATCAAGACAGGGCGTTATAACTACTTCATATTATTATGAGTTATGACGTGACGGATATCACTCTCGCTTGAGTTTGTTTTAGATCAAAACTACACTTTACTAAGAGAACATTTGCGAAAACATTTTACGATCTGAACACAACGCGATTATTTAAGAATTTTTTGAAAGGCTCAAGTTTTGCGTCATTTTGGCACAACATTCGTCTTAGTCCTCTCTCAGTAGCCTATCGGAAAGAAAGGATCTCTGACGTAGAGTAAGGAACTACGACGAAAATTACTTTACTTTCAAACTGTTACCGTTCTCCGTCTGACATTAGCTAGGGACTTTAAGCAAATCACTAAGGTGACTTCTACTACTACTTCCACAACGTCACTGACTATAGCCCGCCAAATTTCAACAGCTACGCAAACGGCTCCCAAACAGTGACTTCGGGGTTTCTCGCTCATTTGCTTTCGCTGTTACTAAAACGCAGGGAAGACGTAATTACTGGAAAACCAGATCAAGCTTAGCGTCATAAAGTTTCTTGATAAAGTGAAAAAAAAAAAATATGTGAAAGGTTTTATAACCAGTGACTGAAAAAAGGAGAAAAGTCAACTTCGACAGGTGGTCTTGACGTTGTAGGATTTGACGCTACGAGGAAAGGTAATTTCCAAGCATGCGCACTGAGTTATTTTTGGGCTTTTTTACTTCCGGTCGCCGTAGTAGAGGTCACCGTTACGATTTGATTAAAGTCCCTAATAACTTACACCTGCTCGTCTGAACGACTGAACACTTAAGCAGCATATTTTTGGTGACACTTTTTAAATAAAAAATCACCATAGGAGCTCGAGTCTGTGGAAAAGGGCCAGACTCACGTATTGTTGGTGGAACTGCGGCGAAGCACGGAGACTACCCCTGGCAAGCGCTTTTGCAAACGGCGAAGACTTCTCGACAGTTCTGTGGAGGAACGTTAGTGCATCCAGAGTGGGTGGTAACGGCCGCTCACTGCGTGGAGGGCAGCAAATCAAGGGACATTATTGTGAGGTGAGAAGAAGTATTTTCGAAGAAGAAGTGAAACAGCTGATCACGGGTTAAAACAATTAAATCAATCATCTACATTGTAATAACTCGACTTTTTCTTAACTTAGGGTGGATTTTCACTGTCGCGAAATTTTTACGTGCGTACGCACGTACATTTTACGCGCGTAAATAAAATAGAGGCAATGAGTGTATGGTCACGGGCATTTAGCGTTTAAGTTGACCGAGGTTCAACTTTAACGTTAACGCGCGCGCGACCTTCCATACATTGCCTCTATTTTATTTACGCGCGTAAAATGTACTTGCATACACACGTAAAACTTTACCGACAATGGAAATCCACCTGGCTTACCAGACCTCGAGCCGAGGATATATTTTTAGAGTAAAAATATGAAACATGGAGTGTTTTCGAGCTCAGATACCTGTCCGTGTTGTAATTGCTTTGTTTTGATAACTGACAAGTTTATTGCTTGATTGGAAGAGAACGGAAGACGGAAAAGGTACGGAGTCCCCCTATTCCCTCAAGCCCCTTTCCCATAACGACTACTATCAAACCCATGTTAAAATTAATTGTGGAAGTTAAGCATGGAACTTGTTTTTCACGGAATCGTTTATTTATGGAACCATGGTTTCAAAGCCGAGCTATTACCGAGAAAATGAAACAACTTGATAATGTGGTTTCAGTCTACATGCCACGAGCCAGCCCCCATTTCGTCAACGTTAACGTCTCACGAGGACTTTTGATAACCACGAGCCTCAGATTCAAGTTTTTGCTTTTTATGGAGGGTACTCGGTAATTTCTTGAAACACGGATTTCCGAAATGCTTCATTGACGTATTACAAAATGAAAAAAAAAGACAAAAAACGAGACAAAAAAAGAGGATGGGTAACATTCAGAGTTTGCCTGTTGACGTTCGATGCTGTACAAGTAGAATTCTAGATAGTCACTGATAAACGAAAGATAAAAGACCTGAGGGAAATATAGTCCTCGATAAAATTACCTGCAGGTTTAATTTACTTTTTCTGTTTAAGATCCTTGGTGATTAGGCTAATCATTATATTTTTACTGTGACTAGAATGGGGGCTCATAATAGAGTTGAAAGTAAACCGCCAAATGCGAAGGAACAGAGATTTAAGCTCCTTAAGATCATCAAGCACCCATCATACCACAAACCAATAGACATGAGTCATGACATCGCGCTGCTAAAACTAGAACGTCCTGCTATCTTGGATAGGTAAGTTAATCAGCTGATCAGTTTTGTTCTCCCGTCGACCTGAGAGAAAACACCTCATTCTGTTCCAAATTATGAGTGTGGTAGGGGTGCGGAGAATGTGAGGCTATCACTGGTGCCTTCAGACTCAAACTGAAAACTAAATATGACTTGAGGCTTTTCGCAATTTACTATCGAAAAATTGAAGAGCACACTGAGCAACAGAAGAACATTATACACCAGTAAATCAGAACGGTTGAACAGAGAATTCATTGCATGCTGGTGTATTAACCAGAATAGAAACGCATGCGTGCAAAGCCAAGAGAAAAGTTCAAGAATAGCATAGTCTGTGGTGGAAGAAGTATTTTGATTTATTATTCTTTTAATTACTTTATTTCTTGGAAATTTTGCTTAACTGAGTGTACAAAAAGGTCCCATACCAGCAGTATTCTTGGGGCGAAACGTAACTTAAAAATAAATGTGTTCGATGGTCTGGGATAATGCTTACACCGCAAATAAAGAAATAGCGCTAAAATCAGGGGGGCGTTTCTGTGAGTAAAACACAATACTATTTTGGGCATCTAAATTGTCTCCCTTAAGTCAGGGCGAATACAGTCAAATTACCTAGGCAGGTCTCTAGGATTGATTTGAGTCTCTGTTTGGGCTTTAAAAGACTTTTCTTTGGGCTGTTTAATTTAGCTTAAATTGATTTCAAATGGCTCCAAGGCTTTGGCCTGAAGGGCTAAATTTAGACTGCCGCCCAACTTGCTGCTCGCGGCTTCGCTGGTGGCACATTCATATCCGGCGCGCTCTGACAGATTTTCAAGACGCTGCACGCGCATACTCGCAGTCTAGGCTTTGAAAATTTTCTGGAGAAGAAAAAATATATATATTTATATATCTAACGTTCCCGCTGAATGGACCTTTTCCCTCCAACAATAGTACATCTCCAAAGTAGCCATTATAAAAACTAAGAGTGCGACCATTGCTTTTTTCTCTTCTCCACCTGTCTTCCTCCTTGTTCTTTCTTTTTCTTCTTTCTTTTTCCTTCGTTAGTGTGCTTTTGGAGCTTATCGAGCCCAAAAACACCTTCCTTTTGACGCCCTTTCACTCAAATGACAGCAAATTTCGTTAGGTTGGTATTCAAAAAAAAAACAAACGGCTAGATAAAAAAAAACATATCATATTCGGGACTGAGGCAGATATTTTTTAATTTACAGTGTATTTATAATTAAAAGTCTCTTTTCAATGCGAAATTTACGTACGCCTCCTTATTTTTCAGCTACACCAATCTCGCATGTTTACCATCTAGTGATCCAGTTGTTGGAGATTCGTGTGTTATCACAGGTTGGGGTACACTGGCGTCTGGTGGAAGTCAACCAGACAAGCTACAAGTAGCTACCGTTCCCGTGGTACGTCAAAGTACATGCGAAAAGGCTTATAAGCAGTACGGTATTCATGCATCAATGATTTGTGCAGGATTGACTGAAGGGGGAGTGGATTCATGCCAGGGAGATAGCGGCGGACCAATGGTGTGCAAGGATGCTTCTGGGCTGTACAGTCTTCATGGTGTCACAAGCTGGGGTGTTGGATGCGCTGATAAAGGCAAGTACGGTGTGTACGCCAGGGTGAAGTATCTCCTCACATGGATTAACAAGCAGATCAGCAGCAATTGAGCATAAAAATGGAACTTTATCAGGGGCAATGATTTAAAAAAATATCCGGAAGTAGTCTGATAAATGCTTATAATAGTGCATGTAGTGGTATTTCGAAACTGCCATCTGCAAGTCTTTTTTTTCCTTCGAAAAGATCGACACGGGAAAGAGATAAAGGTGCTTAATAAAGGTCGCAGGTAATCAAAGGACTAATGGCAACTTCAGTAAATAAGCAACAGTTAGAGTCTGAGATTGCTAACGTACATGCTTATACGTATGTCTGCGAGTGATGTCTGAGAGAAAGCAGTTTATTGAAGAAGTATTAGGTCTTTGTAAGGGGAGGGAATGTAGATACTGAAATGCAAGAGCCGAGATAACTTTCCTTAAGGGGTATTTTGATCACAATAAGCAATAAAAATAATGGAAATGTTCTTAGACTCTTAAGCATTTTATGTCTTTCAATCCGTTCATGTGCATTACCACATGTGACATATAAAACATGGACTTGTATGAAATATTTTTTATCCCAACTCTGCCAGGGATTAAACACTTAAACTGATGGAACAACCTATAGGCGGCGGAGAAGGGGGCAGGGGGCTCCGTAGCCCCATCCTCCAGGGGGCAGAGCTTCCCCACATTTTGGCGCTCAAAAAGAGTTTTAAGGATGCATTTGACATTATCTGTGACTTTAGAGCGCATATTTTATACCCTCAGACGACTCAAAAACTAATTAAAAAGCATCATGAAGCAGTACCGCCCGAACAACTGCCTACTGATGCATTGTCACAAATCGATTACGGACACACTAGACGCTGTGATTATTGCGAAGAGGTTTGCTTCTGCCAACGAACAACTCAAAGGCATTTTGGAAAATTTGAGTAGGGGTATGCGTATGGCTAGGTGGAAGATGCCCCCCCCCCCCCCCCCCCCCCCCCCTCTGCAAACCCCCCCCCCCCCCCCCCCCCCCCCCCCCCCCCCCCCCCACCCTACGGCACCCACCCACACCCTCTCACACCTCGCGAAAAAAAAAAACAAGACGAAACAAAAAAACACACACACCTGTTTTCTTTTTTTTCTACTTATATTTCCATAAAATTATTACTATAATCATATCGAAAAACTCGCCTATTGTGAGATTGTACAAAGTGCATAGAACACACAAGAACCCTTGTATTATTTTGTAAAGGGTTTGTTTCGCCAAAGAAAAAACTAAAAGGCATTTTGGAAAATTTGGGAAGGGGTTTCCGATGGGTAGGGGGAGAAGCCCCCCCCCCCCCCCCCTCACCTCCAAGTTTCGAAACGCTCCGCCGTCTCTGCAACCCCCCTTCTCTCCCCTGTAAGATATGGGTACCAGCTTGACACATGTTCAAGATTGAAGAAGCAAATAAAACGGAGCAAAAAAAATTCAGATTCTTCGTTTTCTTTTATTTTTCGACATGCTTCCATATAAGGTTTAACATATTAGCCAATCCTACGTCAGTTATTTCGTAAAACCTTCTTTTAGACTGTGGACTAGGAGAGATATAACTTAACCCACATGGAAATGTCAATTTTGTGGAGAAAAGAAGTGTATCCTGCATTTACCATAATATAATCACTTAAGCTGACATATAGAGAAATGAAAATCTGCCAGTGGACAAGGTGTCGAGAAAAACGCTGTATTTGGCGGTTACATAGTGGCTCTTCAGTTTACCATTTTTCCGACAGAAACTAAAGAAGCTAAGCTAAAAAGTTGCCATAATTTGACCAACCAAACCATTATATTTTTCTAGACCGTTTATTGCTACTTTTTTGAGTTAACATGAAAGTGTAACGTCGCGTTCTCTACTTTTTTCTCGTAAAGTGGGGAGAGGGGAGGGGGGGGGGGGGGGGGGCGCTAGACATACGCAAACTATTCGAGTAAGAAGAAAAATTATTACATTTTATATATTTGTATGAAAGCCGGACCACACAAGGTTTCATCATTAGGTTTTCTTCACAAAACACACCTAGCTAACTTTACCATTTTTATGTCCGATATGTAAAAAATCTCTAATGTTCTACTGGCAAACTTCAAAATTGTTCAAAACCATTTCAAGCGACTTACAGCAACTTACAAGAATGCATTATTACTGTAGTATCTAATTCTCCAGCTGTCTTTCTTGCTCGTCCTCGCTATCCTGCCCTGCCGGTACAGGTTCTTTCTTTGTTTCATTGTTAGTAATTTCCTTGTTATGATTCATGTCGGGATCTTCCTCGACTATTTCAGTTGTTGGTTCCATGCTGGGTTTTTCTGTGATTTTCGCGACCTCAATGAGTGGCGGGTGCTATTGAAAAAAAACAAAAACAAGACAATAAGTGAAGGTGAAACTATTCTGCAGTACAAAGTGGCTTAAACTCCTAATAATGCTCTGTCGAAATTCAAGAAATTTAAGTTTCGTGGGCATCTACGGGATGCTTTATCAAGGAAAGGGGAAATCGCAGCGGGATAGGGGTCATTCAAAGAGGGTCTCAATAGGGTGGTGAGTTGACGGTCAATTTTCACCGATTTTGACGGTTAATGGTTAAATTTTTAGAACTTTTGACGGTTGAATGTTAGTAAGTGGAAATTTAACCCGAACGTTAAAGTAAATATTAACTTCTGTATGAATTAATATTAACTGTTGTGTTTTAAAAGTTGCCTTGGCCTTCCACGCATAAAATTTCAAAATATTTTCACAATAAGCAGGTTGTAATGTCTAGAAAGAGTGTTTTTGAGAACATAGGAACTGGTTTTTTCCAGTTTATAAATTTTTCAGGAGACACAATCCCGTGAAGACCAGCTGAAATAGAGAGATTTGAAATGCATTGAAACTTTTTGAGCTTTTTTGACGGTCAATCTTAATCTGCAGTTCTGACAATTGACCATAAAAAATAACCTTTTTTGACGGTTGACAGTTAACCCCATTGACACCCTAATCGAAAGCACCAGCTGGTTTCGACCAAACGCTCAAAAGCTAGAGCCATACTGCATCTTTACAATTCAGGGATGACAGGTTTAAATATTAACTTTAAGCAAGTATATATCGCGGCAGGTGCGGAGGTTACTCACCAAAGTTTTGTTCGAGAAGGCTATAGGTACGCCCCGATGAAAAACCCCTTACAGTTAAATATACCCTCTTTTCTAAAAAAAAAGATACCCTATTCTATACCTTCATTTAAAAATGGTAACCCCTTCAAATTCTAAACCCTTAGAATGCCACTGGCCGGGACGGGAGAACAGTGATAAGCTCAAATGCTATATTTTAATATAGCATGGGCGTTGTATTTAAAAATACAATGCCCTTTTGAATACCTAAATCACTCCCTTCTTTTTCATGTACTTTAACTTGTGAAATGCCTACCCCTCTGAATACTAAAAACTTGAAAAAGGTACCCCTTTCGGGCGGAGCCTCCCTGTAGAGGACTTTGTAGGACTTTATAGTTCTAATCAAGGACACTTTCTAAAAGTCTCCTATTGAAGATGGGACTATACATGATTTCCATGTGGTCATGCTAGCCTAGCCTTCTGCCTCAACTATTGTTTAAATCTCAAGTATTGCTCCTTCCCTTGGCATGGAGCTTCGATGTACTTTAGTGCACGCAAACTAGCTTAAAGAAGCAAATTAAACTCTTTACGCTTACCCCAGTTTTTTCCAGTTTCGTTTCTATGGCCAGTTCTTCTTTAAGCTTCTTTTCCTCTTTGGCTGTTTCCTTCCCACTCAACAGGGGTTTCGTTGTTTCCTTCGTCACTGCCACTGTCGCCTCCGGATTCTTCTTTTCCTTCACTGCAGTAGTGGGTGATGTTTGAGTGGAAACAAACACTTTCGCCTCCTTTGTGTCGTCTTCATTGAGCGTTTTTTCAGCCAAAGCAGCTAACTCAAGTTCTTCAATGGACAAATCTCCTTTTGATTTGGCTTTTGAAGAAGGCTTGACCCTTTCTTTTTGCGGTCCCGTTTCTCGAGTTTTCGTTGACTGCTTTTTTGTTGTAGGAATGGAAGAATGGGTCGTGGGAGCTTCAGTCTTCATGTTCCTTGCTTTGTTCCTTTCCTTGTCAAGAGCCTTGTCAAATGCTTGTGCAATTTTTCTTTCCTCTGGTGTTTCCTTTTCCGTTAGCACTTCCTGTTCATCTTCCAACTCTTTTTCTTCATCTCGGTTGTCATTGGCGTCATCAAGTACGTCCTCATCGGAAGGTGTGGCGGATTGGACCTTTTCAACTTTTTTAGATTGTGCCTTGTCACTCTCAGCAGGTGATGTTTCCATTTGCGGCTTCATCTGAAGATCTTCTTCTTCCGCAGCTTCCTGCTTAATATCCTGATTGTTTCTGCTTCCGGTTTTTATACGCGGTTGTACAAGATCAACTTTCTTCACAGCGACCTTAACATTTTCCTCAGACTTTTTCACCACCGACTTGTCTTCCTTTTCCTTCTCATTGTTTATCATGTCTCTTCTTTCAAGATTCAGGCTTTTTTCTTCCGATTCGTCATTTGAGGCCTTTTGTTCTGTCACCTGAACAGAAATTGTGTTAGTTTTCTTCTTTTCTTCCTTGACTAGAGCTTGCTTGGCCTTCTCACTCTTTGTGTTTCCTTTGCCTACTGCAGCTTTCTCGAGATCTTCCTCCTCACTTTCTTCTGTCTCTTTTCCTTGGCCTTCATCGTCATCGTTTTGCACCTTTTTAGCAGTGATCTCATGAGGCCTATTGTCTTCTTCAACTTCATTTACTTTCTCGACCTCTACACTGACTGTAGTGGGAGTCAATTTAACTTTTACTTCTGTAGCTTTCTCAGTCGGAGAAACCTCTTCAACTGAAATAACCGTTTCTTTATTGTTGCTTTTCTTTGTGTTTCCAATTGCCAAATCAAGATCCTCTTCATTTTTCATCTTTTCAACCGAAATCTGAATGAGAGGCTTCGTTTCCTTTTTATTTTCTTCCTCGTTTATCTTTTCCACTACAATGCTTTTTTTAGACGTTTCTTTTTTCTTGACGTTTGTTTGCCTGTCATCAGGGGAAATCTTCTCAACTGAAATATAAGGTTTGTTCTTTCTTATTCCTTCGACTTCGAGATCAAGTTCTTCGTCATTTGCTGTCTTCTTCACTGAGATATGAGCCGGAGGCTTTTCTTCACTCTCTTTCTTCCTCTCTACTTCTTCTACAACTACGCTTTCAGCTGACGCTCCCTTTTCCTCCTCTTTTTGCTCCTCTTTCTGTTCTATTTGCACTTTTTCTACGGAAATTTCATCAACTTTCTCCACAGGCGCGCTTCCTGTAGCTATTTTTGTTACCTGTATTTTGCCTCTGATGCTTTCTTCCGCTACGTCCTGCTTCGTTTCCTCCCCTGCAGATACCTTCTCTACTGAAACAGTATCTCCAGTATTTTCTCCTGCCTCGCTTGGCGCTGGTGTTACTTTTTCCACTTGAATCTCATCCTTCCCAGAAGGGGTCAGTTTTTCTACCTTAATTTCGATTTTACTTTTCTCCTCGCCTTTGTTCTCTTTGACAACAACTTCTGGTTGAAGTTTTTCAACCTGGATTTTTACCACGGTACTATTACTTCCAGTTAGTGTTGGAGAAATTGTGCTGATGGTTTGGTTTGTCGGTTTCAGGGTCGGTGTAGTAATCTCAATTTTCTCATTGATTGGAACGGTTGTCTCAGCGGAAGGTGTGGAAAAAATGTCTAAAAGAAAGACAAAACAAAGTGACATCAGTGAGTCTTAGGGTATATGAATAGAAAAGAGCGTACTGAACAAATCGAACGAGCCAGGCCGCATTGCTGGGAACGTTGTTAGCCATCTTTGATCAATTATTTGTTGTCTCTTCTTACTTGGACTGTATGCTCATCCAACCATCACTTCGGTGACTCTTCGGTGCTGCTCGGCAACATTATTTGTCGATCATTTCCATCGTCGTCGTTTACGTCGTTTGATTTAAAACGCATTGTTTCGAATGGGTGAAACAAAATAGGCTGCAAAAAAATCCTTATTTTTACATAGTCAACTACGCACGAACAGTCAAACGAAAGGTCTGGAGAAAGGCTGAAAACAGTAAATGAGACTGAAGAGCGGCACGTATGTGCCACTTCTGTTGCCGCACCGGCGGTTTTTGCGTTGAAAAAGCGAGTTTTATAGGAAAAAACGACTGTTTTGCAGTCTAACATAAAAACACAAGGCAAAATTTAGAATGATAAAACCTTAACTACAGTCAAACCGCACTTTACGAACACCCGGTTGATACGGACACTTTCTATGCCCCCCCCCCCCGCCCCCCCCCCCCGCCCCTCTCCTTGGAAAAACAAAAGGCCCACTCCCGGGCGACAGACCAATAGCACACAAAAAGGGTGTCCATTCTGTGTGCCGTCCGGGGGTGTTTTCATTAAAAAAAAGAGTTTTAAAGAAAAAAAATAAGCTTTTTGCGTCTAAAAAAAAAACACAAGGCAAAAATTTGAAATATAAAAACCTAACTCCCGTCAAACCGCCCCTACCCACCCCCGGGTGATACGGACACTTTTTATGCCCCCCCCCCCCCCCATCCCCGGGTCCTTATTGAGAGAAAACGTAAGGGCTTTCCCCAGGGACAAAGCAAACTGTCCGTAATAATGGGGTGTCCGTATTAAGCGGGTCTACGTTAAGCGGGGTTTGAGTGTAGAAGCAAAACCACAACAACAAATAAGCGACGATAGACGGATCTTGAGTAGACCAGGATCAGTAAAGAAGATGGACAACCAAGTAGAAAATCAGTAAACTGATCCTTACAGCAAGAACACTGGGGGAAATATGTATATAAAGAAAAATCAAATTCACCATTTTAGAGTTTTCTTCAAGGTCGTATTATTCTACTTGCAATTTGTATCAGGGAAAAGGTCCTTGTCTGAGGGTCTCAATGGGGTTAACCGTCAGCCGTCAAGCAGCCTAAAAATTGACCTTCAATCGTCAAAAAAAAGGTTTTTTTAATGTCAACTGTTAAAAATGCAGATTAAGATTGACCGTAAAAGTCGGAAAAGTTTCGAGGTATTTCGAATCTCACTATTTCATCTGGCCTTCACGGGATTGTGTCTCCTGAAAAATCTATAAACTGAAAAAAACAGTTCCTATGTTCTCAAAAACACTCTTTCTAGACATTACAACCTAATTGTAAAAAAATATTTTGAAATTTTGTAAGTGAATTAGGCCAAGACAACCTCCAAAACACAACCGGTGACAGTTGATATTAATTCATACAGAAGTTAATATTTACTCTTAATTAACGTTTGTACTAAATTTCCACTTAATATACTGAACCGTCAACCGTCAAAAGCTCTAAAATTTAATCGTCAACCGTGAAAATTGGAAAAAATTAACCGACAACCGTCAAAGCTACCACTCCATTGAGACCCACCCCTCTGCACCACAAGAAGCGACTTGGATCCGCCGCTGAAGGTCTGTGGTAGTGGTGGTGGTAGTGGTGGTATTGTTTTAGTGTCTTTTCAATAGGACTTTGAGAGACTGAAAATATGTAGCCCGCTCACCTGTGGATGGTCCCTTGCTTGCTGTTGCTGTCTCTTTCACCTTCTTTCTAACAGCGTCAACATGGTCCTCGATCTCTTCCAACTGATTTGATAACGAAGAAATCAAAAACCAGTTAGTCAGGTCGTCTTGTAAGTGACATAGGTTTGACCTTTTCTTCAAAGAATAATTCTCAAAAGGATAATTATAAAAAGCAAGATTTAACAAACATCTACATGACTTTTTAGTGTTAAGTGTTGTTAGTGCTTAGCATCATGACTAATTTTAATCATCCAAAGAAACTTTTATATCATCTATCCATCCGTTTCTCTCTACGTATTTTATATTGCTTTTTTATTTGATACCTTGTCTGACGTTTTTTTCTTAGTCTTTTTGTATGTGATCTAAATATAAACTTAGAATTAAATGGACATACAGCTGAACCTCTAAGGCTAAAAAAGAAATCTAGAAACAGAATTTAATCTGGAAACAAACGAGTGGGATTACTTTTGACAGATAACTTCCTATCTACAAGTACACGTGCATGCAGTTAGTAAAAAGCCGCGAGTAAGAACCTGCTTTTTCCCAAGTTAGCCTATTAACAGGTTCTTACATAAATGGTAGTTAGCGCAAGCTAAATAGCCTAAAATACACTGTAGGTAAAGGTATCTGGTGATATTCAGCTTATTCCTTATATAAAATCTGCATATCATTACATCGCAGTTGGAGTGATATTTAGGCATCTATGTCTGCAAAGAGGATGTTGACTTACACGTGTCTTATTTGCCCAGGTGTATTGACATTTTTATTATTATTGATTTTTTTGATATCTATTTTAGAAAAGAAGAACTGGTTTCAAATATTAGGCTAAACAGGTTCTTGTATAAAGGTCTATTGTATACTCTTGTAGAGAATCAAAGTACATCGGCAAATTTTAGCCTAACAGCATGTTAAAAACCAAGTCCATACAAGCCTTTTTTTTTTAACTTGTATTGACGTATCGTTATTGTTATTATTATGTTTTTTTTTAGTTTTATTATTTTTATTATTTTTTTTATTTTTTTTATATTTATTTTAGAAAAATAAATCTGTTTTTAAATATTATGATTAAAAATTTTTTGTATAAAAGTCTAATTTATAATTTTTTAGAAAAAAAAAATACAATGGCAAATTTTTTTCTAATAACATTTTAAAAACCAATTTCTTTATCCCCTTTTTTTTTTTTGCTGTCGTGACGGATTATTATTATTATTATTATTATTATTATTATTATTATTATTATTATTATTATATAAAATTAGTTTTATTTTATTTTTATTGTATTTTAATAACTTTTTCTTTTTTTTTTTTTTTTTTTTTTTGTTGTTGTTATGGATTATTATTATTATTATTATTATTATTATTATTATTATTATTATTATTATTATTATTATTATTATGCATCACTGACCTCAGATTCCAGTTCCTCGACAGAAATCTGCAATACATAACACAAGGTTCTAAAGTAAGCACAAATTACAAACAGAAAATGACACTTGGCTAAGGGCAAGAAAAAGATGGAGAACTAAAGACCAGAAAAGAAGGTCCGTGAGAAAGCCAAGCTCTGGGGGATTTTTTCAGACCAAACGGGGAAATCAGTGAATGATAAAACAGAGGGGAAAAATTAGGATATCAACAGACTTACCAAATAAATCATTTTATAACAACCAATCCAATGAACAATAATACAATCTAACGTTGACCATGGCATTTTAAAAAAAATTTTCAAATTCTAGTAGTATCTCCAGGAGGATTGTGAGGAAGGGTGGGAGGGAGAGGCTGCATAAGGAGCCATTAATCCTTTAAGCCCCAGTATCCACATACAAGTTCTCCAAACTGATCTCCATACATTTCCTTAAAGAATGAGTTGAGAGAATTTGATAAAAGATCAAGGCATTTTTTCTTGGGTAATCACTTTATTAATTCTCATAATTTATCTCTAGACAGTGTATGGATATTGTTAGGGGAAAATTGATTTTGGTCACTATTGGCACCTAAAGGGTTAAAACAACCGATCCTGCAGACGATCATTTTAAGAGAGCCATATCTGGGCATGGAAGGACAAGGGAGGACATGATCGCAGTTTTAAGGGGGATGGGGTGGGGGTGGGAGCCCGGGGGTGGTTTTAAATATCGGAAGGCTAGATGACGGGGGATACTTTTAAGTCTACATAACCACATAACACGCCTGTGTGAAGAAACGCTATTTGCCGAAGTGGAGGCGGTCGTGCCAAGTTGCATTTGGTCAAGTTACACATAAGGGACAATAGTGATGCGAAAGAAGACACTCCTTTATCCTCTCTTGATTAATAATATGGTTAGCGTACACACAATATGTCTCTCTTGAAACTTTAAACGGAGAAGAGAAAAAATATTTAACCCTCTTTCAGCAATTTTGCAATTCTAGACTCCATTGGTGCATCGACCTCCACTTACGAGATCACACGACAACAAGGAAATGACCCCATTTCAGCGTTACAGGATGCTTCAGGAACGTAACATTAACCACATGCATGAAATCATTCGTGTTGTGGGCTGTAATAAGTAGATAGTTTTCGAATTATCTTTCTACTGCTTGAGCAAATGCCTTAAAAATTCCTTAGAACCAGTACGAAATCGAGAGCTCGAGTAAGGGTATATTGCTGCCAGATAACATATTAAATTGCTGTTAAGCTTTTTTTAACTTTTAAAGGTTAACATGACAATCCGAGTTACTTAGCATGCCTTCACGCAATAAGAGCCGATTCCCAAAAGACAAGTACGTATTGTTTCGCGCAGAAACATGGAAATAGTTTTCACAAATACTGGATAGTGTCCCTCGAATCTTTGTTAAATACTCCTCTAGATTTTGAAGCTATCAGTGAGAGTACTCACGACAAACATTTCCTAATCTACAGACGTCCTCGATATTGAACTCAAACATGTCCGTGCTTTTTTAGCTCGTAATGCCGTGAAACCAATTTTTAAATCTATTTTTCACGCTGATTACCCATCAGAAACCCTTTTCTGCACTTTCCTCTCCTTTAAGAGCAAACAAGCAAAACATATTAACCAATTTCTTCCCGGCCCATTGAAGTCACGCCATAAGCCTTCCTTTTATGTTCCTGTTCCTGCGGTCCGGCCAAGATTATCTACGAGTAGTGATTCATAAAGTGATGTTTTTAAGGCATGCATAACTTACCGTTCTTTCTACTCTGCCTTGATCACTTTTATCTATTGGCACTGGAATAAAAATGGATGAAAGAAAACAAAGAAAGGTCAACACTTCCCATCAAGAAAGAAAGGAAACTCAGCTCGGTTCCTTCCCCAGTCGTCAGAAGTACCAAGGGCATACAAAGTATAGTTACACTTACCAGGTAACGCCAAAGTTGCACAGAAGGAAAGCAACATTACGACGGTAGCTACATTCATCTTGTTGTTCTCCTCTAATGTCCCGCACCTATTGAGTGCTTTCAGACATTCCTTAACACTTAGCTGATTTGACTTGGCCCTTTGACTGAGGAAAGTGAAATCTGATCTGAACTTGTCAAGTCATGTTTTCTCAAAATTAATCCCACTTACTTCTATGTCTTCTATAACTTATCAAAATAAACGACCTTAATCTAATCAGTTTTTTAATCTGGAGAAAAAATAATTCAGTCCATTCTCCTCCACATTTTTTCCCTTTCTTTCTGTCCATTTAGTTTTGTATTAGGTCTTAAACTGATTAGCAAATATTTGGTTCTGATTTACTAACTGAATTTATTTATTACCGTATTTATTCGATTAACCGCCCTGGGCGCTTATTAAATTTTTGGACCTTGAGAGTGGGCGCTTATTCGAGGTGGGAGCATTATTAGAGGCTGGGCGCTTATTAAATTTTCAGAATTTAAAAAAGTTTAGTATATTTATTTTGCAACAAAACAATAAATTGTAATAACAAAACTCGAAGATGTTACAAAGCAAGGTTTCTGTAAAATGCTCTTAAGAGACTTAAGAAAACTCCTTCTCCGGGGAAGTCTCTTATTAGCACGTATTCATTTTTTTTCGGTTGGGAGGTGAAAGGGGGTGGGGGGGGGAGGGCGCTTATTCGAGGCTGGGTGCTTATTAACTTTTTCTGCCTTTAGGATGGGCGCTTATTCGAGGTGGGCGCTAATTCGAGATTGGGCGCCTATTCGAATAAATACGGTAACTGAAAGTTTATTTATTTATTTATTTATCTCTTTATTCATCTATTTGAAACCTTTAATAAACATTCTATAAGAAAAATGTCCGTTTAATAGGAAACACATCGTTTCGAGGACCACAAGTCGTTAAAGTCAAGAGCGAAAAGAAAAAATCACAGTGACTGTTATAATGCTTGCAGTGAATACTCGAAATGCTGGAAATGTAAATGAAAGAATGCGACTAACAGAGTGAAAAATGGTGATCATTTAATATTAAACAAAGCCAAGGTAAAAGAACAAAGCGTTGGAATGGAGTCATTTTTAGTGTTCAATGCAAGTTTGGTCCCTTCATCTTTATTATAACAATATTTCCCAAGACAAGCAGTCAAAATTTCCACTACACTTCCTCGAAAAGGAAAATTGTTTGTGCAGGTTCGTCTGGGTTAATTATCGTCCTTATCATTATCATCATCATCATCATCATCATCATCATTATTATTATTATTATGATTGTTATGATTATTATGATTATTATGATTATTATTATTATTATCATTATTAATTCTTTTCACACTCTTCCACATTTTTTAATATAGAAGCATGTGGCTTTTTTTTCATACAATAATTATTTATTTATTTCCGGTTTATTCATTTACTTTCCTTTTATATACAGGCCTGGACAGGCTTTTTAGCAATTAAACTTTAAAGGACCGAAACGAATATACCGTAGAACGTAGGATCTATAGAAGACCTGATCAGCAGAAATATACACTGCGTAGACACATCGAATTCCGCAAAGCTGAATGTAGATCGTACTTCGTGGAACTTAACTTTGCAAGACATCAATAGGACGCCGAAACCGTAGCCAAACCGTAGCCTGGCTGAACTAATGACCGGAAGTGGTACTTAGTCACGCAAATTCAATATCCGGGAACTTTTAGTATTGAACGAAGACAACTTCCTCCACCGGTGAATCGTCGTAGCACGAAGCTTTCAATTTCTTTTGTGATTTTTGGTTTTATTACGTTCTTTTGGGGTTAGATAGTGCTGTTCCTTCTTCGCAGCATGACGAAGTTTACAAACTGTTTCTGGGTAAGTCGTATTTTACTCATAAGAGTATCTTTCGCTGGAATGCGTCACTGAATGTATGTAGGAATGTTTCTCTCAGCTGTCCATGACTGCTTGCTCTGAGATGACATCTGTGTTTCAACTCTGTTACTTTGTACAGTGTATGCGATGCGATAAACTAGTGTTTCGAGGGTGCAAGGTTTTGAATTTGAAACTATAACGACAAATAATCGCATCTTCGAGTATAGGGTCATTCCTGGGATCATTTTCTTTAAAGCCTACTAAAAATTTCCTCATCTTTTCAAAACCAGTGCTTCATTTTTTGTTGTCATGGGGCTTACGTAACTTGTATTTTCGCCCGCAAACAAATTTATGAATGCATGGCTTTCAACAAACCTTAGTTAAGTTTTCCAGCAATTCTGTCTCCTTCCTCATCTCCTCTTCCCCATCTCCTCCCCCCTCTTATCTCCTTCCTCTTCCTCATCTCCTCTATTTTTGCCCTAAGGTAATTAATGAGTAGTATTATTCATTTAAACTATTTCTCCGATTCTGATTGGCTAAAAGCACACACATAACTCACTATAACCAGACCAAATTTTTTAATGAATGAGGCTGGGTATCTTATGACGAATTATGGAGATCAAGGAGGGTGTTATCCGTCGAGGCCATAGGCCTAGGCAGATAACACCCTCCGAGATCTCCATTATTCTTCATATGATACGAAAGCCGAATTCAATAATAGGCTATTTCCGAGTTCCAAAAAATCTCACTTTCAAAGCGAGGCTAAGTGCGAAGCTATTGATATGAAAATGATTTTTAATTATGATGCAAATAAAACTCATTTTCACAACAAAGGTTTGCACTTAGCCTCGTTTTGAAAGTGAGATTTTCTGGAACTCAGAAATGGCCTATTGTTTTATTATTCATTCAAAATAATTCCTAGTTTAAAAACATAGTTAAAACAAGCTTACTTACATCAATGTTAAGTTTATCTTCGATAGTTTACGTTTAGGTTTGTCCAGCTCCGCAAATATTCTCCAACTATCAGATGTTGCCCTCCGAGTTTTCTTCTTGCTGTTTTTGCTATGTTTTTAGCCATTATTTTGCCTAGTTTCAGCTGTAGTTTCAGCTATTGAAATGAGTGAAGTGTCCGCCATTTTAGTTTTTACAACGAAAACAACTCAATCTCGTCCCCAGGTCTTCTCCGTTAACGGTACATTAACCTGTAGAAGGCTGCATTTTTTATGTCGTTTCCTCGTGAAACACAAAATTCTTCCAAATTTGGTCATCAGTAACTGGTTATGGTGAATTATGCGTGTGCTTTTAGGCATTCAGAATTGGGGAAATATTTTGAATGAATAATAATTTGTGTTTAATGAACCAATGACATCACATATCATCCTCCCTTGGTAAAGATGAGAGGGGGTTGTCACAGGACATAATGTACTGCTCTTGATATTAACAGGATGGGTATTAGCATTTATCTTTCAGCTGAGATCACCAAGTTGATTTTTTATTTCACATGATTCTGTACCGGGTTGTTCAAAGCTGGGTTAAACTAACCTAGGGATACAATGTAGTGCAGAATTTGAATGCAGCTATGATAGCTTAAAAAGCAAATTCAGTTTAATTCTTTTCTCTACTATTTGATGATCGGATTGCTCTAAAGAAAATGGAGAAAATTATCCGAGAAAATGCTTTTGAGCAAATGAAAAAGAAAGGTGGATGAAAATTTAACCACCTGGGTAAGTGCTAATCAGCCTTCAAACTACAGAGCCCTGACCATAATATTGTTAGACTATTACAGGGGAGTTCTCGAATGCGCAAAGCCATGAAGCGGAGGACCATAGATAAGAAAATTTGGTTACCAATGCATCCCTGAAATTTTGGTAGTCATGTGAAGGTACAACCGTCTGTCCTCCCATCCATCCCTAGTTGTCTGTCCGCACCACAGAGAAGCCAAATAAAACATGTGAAGTGTTACATTTCCGAGCTAGTATGAGAGCCCGTAAACTGTGTTTAACTTGATAATAGACATTGATTATGGTCAAGCGACAGCTGTCAAAACAGGGTATCCACTGGCCATCATCTCATTTGAATTAGTGCCTTTCTTGCCAGTTTGTGTCAGCAACAGGTTCAATTAATATTTGTACCCTTAGGCTTAGAAAATTTAGAAAATTTAGAAAATTATTGTAAGTTACATTGTATTTGGAAAATCAACTTGCCATATTAATTACTACATGTTTTACAATGATAGTCTGTAACTAACACTCTTTATCCATGATTTTGTTCACTCAGGGCACTGACTTTAATAGCACAGCTGGTTTTGATGCACTGTGCAAGCGAATGAGAGATGGGAGACAAATGACTCAGGATTTGGAAGACTTTATTAGACAAAGGTAAGACTGTGTACAAACAGTTAATGTTCAGAACCCTGGCATAATGAGTGGAATTCAAGCCCCTATAGTTATAGTGAATTTGTGGTACAGGACACAAGTAAAATTGTGACATTCCCCACCTGTTCTAATAATGATTTTTCCAGGCCATTTATAGTTCTTTCCTTCCTCCGCTCTTGCCTTCTTTTGTGTGATATATATAATGATACTATATTTTTTGGGTAATTAAGCGCTACACTTTGTGAATTGGTTTTGTTAGATCTATACTTTAATTTAAAGGTTAAAAATCAACATTAGCTATCAGCTTGGTGGGAAAATAACTACTGACCAAGTACTGAGCCATTGCACTAAACAGGGCCTGCATGGTTCCTGAAAGGATGATTACAACACTCATCCAGGACTGGATTAAAATTTTAATCCATCATCCTTTATCCTTTGATATCATTTTGAGTATCGATCAGTTTTTATTATCAACATCCTGTTCTCAGATTAAAGGCTAAAAAAATACCTTGTAAGCTTTTCACTTGCATGTCCTGAGGGCTAGACAAGAAAACTGGGTCTAAAATTTGGATTTTTATTGAGCAAGCCCAACCATCTTTTGAGAACCAGGCCTTATAAGTGCATGCTGTCCACTGAAAAGATATAGGCACTGAGTCGTGTATCTCTATCTTGTGGATATTGTATACTTTTACCCTAGGTACTACAGTGATTTTGTTCCAAATAGTTATGGTGAGTCCTGGGACTCATCATGTGAAAAATCATGAGTCCCTGTTCATTTAACAGATGAGTCCCAGCTTGTTCAAAAAAAAAAAAAATTACTCTTACACATGTACTTTAAATTGAAAATGCTTGGGCCTTTTTGTAACCACACAGATAAATCTGGAACCAGCTGATGCCAAAACTCTTTATTACAAGATGCTGACATTAGAATATAGTCCTTTTATATTAATTTAAAGCATGAGAAAAAAACAATTATTTTGCATCTTTAAACAACAGCTACAGAAATCACGTGAACAGGATTATAATAATTCTACCAAAAAAAAAAATCTTCAAATCAATTGATTGTTGTTTGCGTCCTGCAGGATGCATTTCATGAATTATTTTCATCTTTAATTTGGGGATTATTTTTATGTATCGGAGACACAGGACGCAGAAGTAACAAAATCACTGTGTAGTGTAGCTTCCTTAAATCTTTTTCGATTTTTTACCCAATGTATGGCATAATTTTATTCTTCATTTGAATAACTGGGACCAGAACCTGATGGGGTCTCTATGTGGCAACAAAACAAAAAAAATTGATTTGTAACTAATCTAAATGTATTTCAATTCTCTTGCTCTCCTTGCTGATATACAAGGGTAGAGGATATTACATGGCTGTGCGGAGAGATAAACAACATTTCTCTTCAAGTGTTAGAAAACCTTTCGCTCTTTCACTTTGCTCACTCATTATTTCTTCAACATGGGAAAAGAAATTTTGTTTCTCCAAGTGGCCATGTGCAATCATGTAATGTTCTGTTTTTAAAAATTATCTTAATATATTGATCACCAGAAATAAAATAATGTTACATGTAGTTACACAAACCATTTCACTTTATTTTCTTTTTAGCTGCAAAAGGCGTGATTAATCATGTAGCCATAGCAACAATGATCTAATTCCCACAAGTGAAGAATTAACATGTTATGTAATTTGTGAAGATATCATGTTTTCACACAAAGGCTCACCTGGTATTTCATGTAATTCAACATGATATATCATAATTATTCTAATATTTTTTATTAGGGCTGATGCTGAGGAGAAGTATGGAAAGGCTTTGATAAAACTTGCAGAAGGTGCTAAAGGCAAAGATGAGATTGGGTATGGATTGATAAGTACAGACAGTGGAAATAAAATTTATACAATAACTAATGGTCCAAACTGAGATCAACAGATGTTATGCTCTTACTAATACACTGTACATAATATATAAACAAAAAGTCACACTTTCATCCTTTTATCTTGTATTAAAGTCCTTTAGTCACGACCATTTACTCAATATTATCAACAAACAGAAAAATAAAATTGGCCTTGGGAATTAATGCGTGACCTTGTCCTGCTATAAGTTTAGACTGTAGTTTAGAGACCCTTCCAGTTCTCTCTCTTGTGAATAGTTGTCATGGGTTAAAGAAAAAAGTGTTCCTTTTTGGTGGAAGCATACGAAGCAGTTCATAATGTTTCAACACATTTGCCACTAGTTTATGAGATAAGAGAACTATTGTGGTAACATGAGTTTGAATGATGGCATGAAGCAGATCAACCATCTTCCTCCATTTTGGAGTTTTATGGTGACTGTAATTAATTTGGAAGTTAGAGTATGTCATCCTTTTGTATTGTTAAGTTTAATCATAGTTAATTGAGTGGAATGGTTATGAAACCCGTCAGACTCCTTTGTTATATGTTTTTGTGGACCTGAAAGTGCACAACGTTCAAAAGAATTCCTATCATTTTGATTGTATTGACCAATAAAAATAATTTGCCAACAGAAAACAAAGGATTGTGCACTTTCAGGGTGCTTCCAACATAAACTGCAGCACTGTTGTTTTTATCATTGATGTTTGCCGCTTTTCATAACCAGTCTCCTCTAATAACTATGGTTTAATTTATAATTTCCAGTGAATTCAAGAGGGGGTCAGTTGACCCAGGATCAGTGTTTTGTCCTAACCCCATGAAAATCCCTTCATCCTGACCAATTGCCCCTTGACAAGGAGATTTGTTGGGAGAACTGAAGTTTTCCTGAAAACAAAAGAAAACAGTTTATTATATATTGTTTATAATCCTTATACATTATTGGCATTCTTAAATCATATTAAATTTTTCTACTCTTTTTGGGCCCACTTGCTGTTACTTTGTCTCCTCTAACCCACTCAATGTATTTTTTCCCTTCATAATTATATTATATCATATAATATCAGGTTTTGCTTTGCTTGTCTTCTTTAATTTGGTAGTGCAACAAAATGAAAAAAAAATAATGTCTATAACTGGCACATATATTCATTTAAATTAATTGCACAACTTTTGGGAAATTTTCAGTTTACAATGTGTTTATGTTATTTTTTGTAGGACCCTTAGAGAGTCCTGGGATGTCCTTAAAACAGGTATAAAATGATATTTATCTGTCAATAAACTTATTAACCTTTAAAAATTTAACAAAGTATCACTCCAGTTCTCTGCCTCCACCCCTCTGGAAATCCCTTTTCTCCCATATAGATAGTTTCTGTATCCACACAAAACTGAAGGTCCAGAGTGAATTAAATTTAAATTATTGAGAAGGACTAGAAGAAAACACAAACAAAAAATAATTATATTCAATGTGCTGTAAAAAAGAAGATGAACTTTGAGTGTCATTGTATTTAGCATGGATTTCTCATTAGGGACAGACACTATTTTTTTGTCTCCAACTGGAGACGGGACTGTCATTTTACATGGTCATCGGAGCCACTCAAAGGTCTAGCCACTTGCAGTGCAAAGGGAGTACCTTTATTACTCAGTTATTTTCTAAGACCCTGCATGAGTATTGGTCTGGCCCCTGGAATCCACCACCTCCCACACTGCAATCGAGCGCTGTACCGACTGAGCTAATCCTGCCCAAACTTATACATGCCTTTGATTTGATTTACTATACCTTAGGGACATAAACAAACTAACCAAGTGACAGACAAGCCATGCGAACGACTTTGTAAAACTAAAAGCCATGCAAGGGAGAAACCTCTGCTCACAGAGTATAGAATCTCATGCCCTCAAGAGTTAGGCCTGAGAATTATTGTTCATCAGACGTTTGGGATTTAGGAAGTGATGGAAATGACTGTTTGATATTCCTGTCACAGTACTGTTTATCACTGAATACTAGAATTTAGTATTCAGTAACAGTACTTTAACCCTGTAAGCCCTAAGAGTGATCAGCATCAAATTTCTCCTTGTAATATCAATTTTATTTGTAAAACAGAGTAGTCATGAGAATTACGGACATGATCTTACAAGATGAATTTGCTTGATATTTTATCAACTTCTCCCCACTTAACTTCTGTAAGAAAAATGAATAGGGGCAACAAATGAGAATTCAAATTTTGATTTTAGGGTTTAAAGGGTTAACAGGAATTAATAGACCGTTTTACCGATATGGCAGCCATATTGAATTACTTCGATTTAAGGAGTATTATGGGTTGCCCATGGGGCATGAGCACCATCGTACTCGCTTAGTATTAGAAATATGGCTTTCATTTTTATTTTCTCAGGAAAAAGGCCATCATCAACGATCTTTTTTCCCATTACAATCTAATTAGTCTTAGAAAAATTTAAGAAAAAATGCCTCGAAAGGCGCTGGTAAATATAAGTAAAAGAATGTGCTTATGCCTCCTGGGCATCCCATAGAACTCCTTAAATCTAACCTATTCAATGTGGCTGCAGTATCGGTAAAAAGGTCTATTAAACAGTCATAATTTATGAATTGCATCCACAACAATCATGTACATGTACATGTATTGTATGTGAATTGTTATTTGCTATTGCTATTACGTTTGTTTATTTTTGTCTACAGAAACAGAAAATATTGGCAAAGCACATATTTCTCTGGCTCAGCAACTTATTGAACAACTAGAACAATGTATCAGTCATTTTAGAGAAGCACAGCGCGAAAAACGGAAGAGGGTAAAATTCCATTATTAAATTTTTGAAATACATGTTTGTCACATTGTTAGCATAGTCCATGACCAATCGGCTCCAGTGCTTGCAGGTGACCTGTTGCGCCAGTTTTCTGGAATTCTAAAATTAATGTAAGTGACTCAGACCAAAAGTTGTGTCCCTTAATGTTGTGTAAAACTGTTGTCAATTAGTTACGTGATTTTGAAAATAGAGAGGAGATTACCCTGGCTGAGTTCAGATCGAGTTAGTTGAAAACAACAATATTAAAATGGCCATAGAACAATTGTAGTTTGGAATCAGTACGTTGTAGAAGAACTTATTAACCACTTGGATGTTTTTCACGTCAGAATTAAAAGTAACAAAAAGTGAAAATCGTTATATTGTTTTCTTGTTCATAAAGGTTGAGGAATCAGTTAAAAGATCACAGAGAAACAAAAAGACTCTTTTTGACACAAGTTTTAAGGTACATTAGTCCTGCTCTTCGTCTGAATTCTTTATTTATTTATGCATGCGCTTAATATTACTTTTAGATCGTAGTTTCCTCATTGAAGTTATAATATATTGTAGTTTTTTTTAACACTCACCTGTTTAACAGATTAATTATACGTTCACTCGGGAAAGACGCCGAGTGCAAAATATGCAAGACAATTAAGTTCTGTTGTGTTAACCTTACAACCAAAATGGATTTACATGTAACATCAGGATTGACAATCGAGAGGCTTAAAGAAAACATGGCTGAACCGCTGTTCTGCCTAAAAAAATATATAGCAAGATTAGATTGGGGTAAGCATGTTTTTAAACTTAAAATATTTTCAACGACTAATAAAATGATCATTGGAATTGTCTTTCGTGTAACAATGAAGAATTTTAAATGCAGACCTCGGAGGTTATCTGCCTCGCTTTCAGCCTCGTTAGATATTACACCCTCTTCGATCCGGCATAACTGTTCATGTCATACTCAGCCTCATCCAATAATTCGTCTAAAAATAAATCTAACAATTTAATATTATGCAAACTAAGATCATGTAAGATGGTTGGTTCGTATCATACTCAGCTTAAAAAAAATTATGAACAAAGATGTCGAGAGGTGGATGCAGCAGATGAAGCTTTCAAAAAATCAGTTTCTCTCGCAAGCAAGGACGAAGAAAAGGTAATGAAATTAAAGTGCTCATACAGACTGTACCTTCACTAGCAAAGGCTAAAAAATCTTTTTGGTATCTGGTTTATGAACGACAACTTTCTTCATTACAGGTCATGTTTTAACACGGTTGTTTCAAATCCAGGTTCTACAAAACGATTGATTTAATACCATTTTCATTGCAGCTGTAAGTGGATCCATCAATACTTCTGAAAACGTTAAGTTATCTTTAAAGTGTTCAAAACTGAAGATCAGCGACCGTTGTGATCTGTAACTGAGAAGTTGCAGTTGCCATAATAATCAAGGTTGACCTTTTCACAAAGTTTAAGCTGAAAATTTTCCAGTATAAAACTCCTTTACTTTTTCAACAATTTACGGTGTATTTGAAAGCGCTTAGTTAGTTGCCAAGACTTGCTTATCAGGTGAGCTATTCCACAGTGCTACCTTTTGTCGCTCTCACTTTTAATTAGGTCATTTTGTTTTCTCTGCAATTAAGTTACATGCATTAAAAAAAGCAGCAACATTTAAGGTAATCCAAGACAGTTTTAAATTCTGGATTCCGCGCCTTGGATTTGGACTTCAGGAACTGGATTCTGGATTCTTGTCACTTGGATCTGGATTCCAATTATTAGTGGGATTCCAGATTCCTTGAGCTGTATTCCAGATTCCAAAGGCTAGGATTCCGTATACCACAAGCGAAAATTTCCTAGATTCCGGATTCCGCAAACACGAATTTCCCGGATTCAAATAACGAAACTTACAGTAGTCCATTTTCTTGTCAAATAGCTGAGAACTCGACTTGGCAAAGCAAAGACAGCAGTCGAACAAGCAGGTGAGAAAATCAGTCCCATTTCTTAAAGGACCTGTGTCACGAAATTTATCAAAGTTGTAACGGTGGTAACCGCCAACAAACTGAGTGAAGTACAAAAATATCTGCTTAAAACTTGCAAAGAAAGTATAAAGACAAACTTGAAGAAGGCTGAAACGGAGTACATTTGTGGTTGTCTTTCAAAGTTCAGTTTGGCGTGTTAATTGGCGAGCACCATCTTATTTAGTGACCAGTTACCAGAGTCTAAGCGGACAAAATTGTTAGTAAATCTCTAAAATCCAAGCCTCAATTAATCGGCCTCTTGTCCTTTCCGCGGAGGGTGGCCGCTTGATGTTGGTTCGAATGTACATTAATATACTTGCTTTTTTATTATTATTTTTATTATTAATTATTATTATTATTATTGTTACTATTTATTTTATTTTATTTTTATTTTTAGATTCAGCTTACCAGAATTCAGTACGCCAACTTGAAGATGCGCGTCTGCTGTGGGAAAAAGAAATGGAACAATGCTGCGAAGTAAGATTCTTTGATGTTTTTGCTCATTGAAGAGTGATTACCTCAGACATAATGAATCAGTCGCCCCGTTTGCCAAAAAGCTGAATATATACAGCGCCAACTGCAGTGTAATACCGTATTGTTAAGTTATCGCTTGTATGGTCATTTCCCTTGGCTTTTATCTACAAAGTCACAGGCCCCCGAGATAAACTCGTCTCCCCGAAATGTCCATTTGCTACCAGCGAGCATCATTGCGCGCAATATGCAGGAAAAAACATGGCGGTTGATCTGTGAACTCTCTTCCTTTTCCGAAATTGCTAAACTCAATGGCAGGAGATACACTGAGTCTGTTGACATAGTGAGACCCAAGCCTTTTAAAAAGATAATGGACGTTGGGAGGTGATGCATTGGCTCCTTTTTCTTTTCTCAGTGCTTGGAGACCATGTATGACCATGTTGCCCCTTTCTTTCCGGTCATCATTTGCAGCGTTACTATTACTTGAATTATTTTGTACTCATATAACAGAATACCTGTAAAACCTTTATTGCTATCATTGTAATTATCATTATTACTTCTATACTCTTTCTGTCTTCAAATAGGTTTTTCAAGTTTTAGAGGAAGAAAGGATCGCATTTTTGCGGAATGCCATGTGGGTGTATGCCAACATTACTTCCCTAAATTGTGTCAAGGTCGATGAGGTGAGAATGTTATTAAACTTCAAAAAGGACACTGGCGTTAATATAGAGTTTATAGTAAAACTCGCAACAGTGCAAAAATTGTTATTTAGATGCCGTGGGACGCCAATGTTGGTAGCACGTACATGGCTCACCAAGATTAAAATTTAGCCACAGAGCCCTCCAAGTTGTGGCAGAAGCGGGTGACAATTGTTCTAATCATTATTGGATCGCTGGGATTCGTGAAGAGGATCCTCATCAAGCCTCTAAATCTCTTTTCCATCAAGGCCAAGTTATACAACAACAACCTGCAAAAGAGGCGAATGCCAAACGAAGATTTTTAACTTGCTGCTTAGAGGACCGGTTGTACTCCGCCTAGTGAAGATGATGATGATGATAAGTAATGGTAACAGGACTGAGTGGAGTCCAATTCGGTCTGTAATCATACGAGTGATTAACAAAATCGGACGACCGCGTAGCGGGAGTCCGATTTGTTTAATCACGAGTATGATTACAGAACGAATTGGACGACACAAAGTTTTGTTACCAATTAATCATAACTTTAACAAAATTTGTGATATATTAGGCTCTTTTTTTAATCAAAACACAAGAAATTCAGAGATGTTTTTTGCTAGCAGTAAAAAAAAAAAGCCATTTAAGCGCGCGCGTGATGGCGCGTACTGTCCAATTACTTAGGCATGACGCGTACTGTCCTATTAGTATAGGTGATAGCATGAGTTGTAGGTATTTGGCATAAATACCACGAGTGATATTTCAAAATTGTTATACGAAATTTCACGAGCCGTTAGGCGAGTGAAATTTGAGACAATTTTGAAATATCACGAGTGGTATTTGTGCCAACTATCACGTACAAATCATGCTATTATTTGTTTATATTACTACCCGCAAAAGAGTTGTAATTTTCACATGTAGGTATTTCAAATTAAGCTGAAATACCACTGCTCTGAGCCAATCAAATTGCAGAAATTTCTCATGTAGTAGTATAAAGGCTGAAATCAGGGCAGTTGATAGCCAATCAGATTTAAGAATTTTGTTATAGTTATGATTATAACAATAATATAAGTAAGATGTTGAAGGAATATTGGTAATTAAGGCCTTGCCACCGTGATGATGATGATGATGATGATGATGATGGCGGCTTTTTATTATCTTTCTTCACTCTTCCTTTCCATTGCAATTATATTATTAAATGATAATTATTTGATTGTCGCATACCATGTTTCCTTTGTTCTTCCTTATTAAACAGATTTGTGAGGAGGTAAGAAAGAGTCTTGAACACTGCGAAGTAGACTCAGACATTCATCTTTTTATCAGCATGAAGCAGACTGGAATGGAACGGCCAGGTAAGTTAGCTTACAAAACATTATCAAATACCCTCTTACCATCCTTTTCTCTCTTATGTACAGTAATCTTAGAATAAAATTCGTTTGGATTTAGAATTCCGTCAAGCAAGCCATTCAAATAGCACTGGTACTTAATGTACATGTACCCTGTATGAAAACTAGGCTGACAAAACACTGCTTCACACTTGACTTAGGGCGGAAATCTCTGGTAGACGTTCTACAATAGGTGAAAACAAGAACACTGAAAATACATTTAGCTATGTTAAGTGAGTATTCAAACACCGTCATTGCAAGTAAGGCACGTACAGTACAGTCTGAATGAATTGCTACTTGAATTCACAAGATCAGTGACTATTGATTCTCAAGAGCTGCAAATCGTGTGTCGCCAAAATTGAGGCGAGATTGCTCATTTTTCTTAAAGAGGCTCACAAACAGAATGAATTTAATACTTGTGTCATCGTTATGATCGAAGAGTTCCGTTTTTTTTATCAAACCATAGTAGTTGAATATTCATCACAGTACAATGATTTTTTATTTTCACTGTTGTTGAGAGAACTTGATGAAGGTTCCACGTGAATGTGAAGCAGTATTTTTGAAGCCCAGTTTCCGCATAAGGTTCGGGTGCTGCTTATGTCGTTTATTGACGAAATACAAGAATACAAACACAACTGCAACAACAACAAAAACAATGGTCGAAATTCATTCCTTGGCTCCGAAGATGAGGGGAGTATATATAAGAAATGCATAGAGATTCAAGGACCATTTCTTTTGTACCCCTCCGCCTCGGAGTTACGTGTTTATTTTAATAAGAAGAACTAGTTTATTAACATATCGTTTCATTATTGTCCACTGCAGCTCGAATAGAATATGAGAATTTTTACATGGTGCAGTCAACACAAAAGGTAATGCCGACGTCTAGTGGTTTCAATATCAGTGGTCCGATGCCAGGAACATTCCAGCATTCCAAAGAAACCAACATGGCACAACCAACCGGTACCCCGAAATTACTTGGCCGAAGGCCCCAGATCCCTATCCCCGATATTCCTGTCCAGGCAGGTGAGTAAACCCTACTCTCCCACGCAGGCGACATTTTGGTCGTCACGCAATGATATCTCGAAGTATTGCGTGACAACCTAAGGAGAGGCTGCTTAGGAGACTGAGTTGACTCAGCCAATCATCTGGAAAAAAATGTAGCTAGGAAGGTTTACTTCGAGATCTTTTCAAATCTACTTTGGGAGGGAGTTATCTTCTCATCATGCTTTCTTTGTGGAAGAAATTACTTAGTTGTCCTTTTTTCTTTGTTGAAATTTTCCTTTCGTTGCTATCTTTGCTCTAATGTTTTGCGGAAGGGTCAGCAAATATGAACGGTTACCGACATGCTCCTGGTTATGTTTAGTTTTCCCATTTTTGCGGTAGTGTGGAATTTGGCTTATCTTACCTCAGGGAAACTGGCAAATAACTAGATTGTACCGTCCTGTTATTTTCCCTCAAATTGTTCTTCACATAAAAGTGGAATGCTCGATGTGAGATATTTCTTACCATTTCAGTGATAAGCCACGTATTAATTATAAAGAATGCGAGAATAGTTCGGCATTCTTCCAGTGAAACCACATGAGTTTTAAATATTTTATTACGTCATTTCTATGGTCTATAAGAGTGCAGACCATGGAAAGTTGAGGTCGATTTGTTAAATACTCCCGAAAACTGTTTATTTCAAACTTCGTGTTATTCACGTGCATAGTACACATAATGTATGAAAGGACAAAGGGGTGGGATCCTTAAGACCAAGACCTTTATTGGGAAAGCAAAGAATACAAGCTTTTAAGCTTGTAGACCACTTAGACCTCTTAAAAGAGGTATATTCTCTATTGTTTGTTGTTCTTTCTTATTTTGCAGGGCCTTTAGATGAATCGATGTATTCCACAGTAGACGAGACAAACAAAGCAAAAATTAAGGAACAGGTTTGTCGTGCGCAGTTTGATTACGACGCACAAGGTGACCAGGAATTATCGTTCAAGGCAGGAGATATTATAAAGATTCTTTATAAAGAGGACGATACTTGGTGGTGTGGAGAATTCAACGGAAAGAAGGGCATGTTTCCAAAAGATTTTGTAGACTTATTGAATCATTGACTTGTTCCGTACAATGGAACTGCGCAATCCATGCATCCGTTAAAACAACCGGGTCTATTTTAGATTAATACACAGTCGGTGAAACCTGTATTAGGTTGACACGCACGGGACCTAAATACAGGTTCCTTTTACCTAAAATATGGAAAGAAACGTTTAAAAAAAATGAGCCATTCGTCCGCTTAATACAGGTTTAACTCAGTGTATATACTTTAGGCAAGCAAATGGATAATCAATGCTTAACACAGTTTTTTGTTAGTGAAATCATCTAATCTTGGCAGTGCTGTTGTGAACGTACCAAGGCGTTTACAGTATTTTTTTAGCTACACTATAGTTTCATTTATAAGCTTCTCTCTCCTTTGAAATACTGGTTTGGAATCTATGACCAGCCTTTAAAAGGACCAACAGACAGAACAGACCATCCAAATCCCATCTGAACCATACAAGGGTGTGGTGCATGGATATAAAGGGACAAAAGTAAACAGCATATTTTGTTCTTATTGCCATCGTAGCTTAATCAAAACTAAAACACAAACAGCGGTGATAAACTTTGTGAACTTTCGCATTTTTGTATTAACGTGACGTTTCGTATGCTAGTCAGCGTATTTGTCAATTTTGTATACATGTAAATAGTCTCGTCATAATCTGTAACGGTCACTTTTGGTCACTTGCAAAAATGTATGTTTACTAGCAGACGAAATGTCAAGTTTATATAAAAATGCGAAAGTTCTCAATTTTTATCCCCGCTGTTTGTGTTTTTTTTTAACTGCATATTAAGAAGGTAGTAACATTATTTTTGAAAGGTAAAGGCCTTTCCGGACAAGACATCTGTTGCTTACATAATAAAGATTTCCAAGTATTGTATATACTTCACGTTATTATGGTAGAATCAACACCGAAAACAATTTTTTGATTGAATAGTTATCTGAGTTGAAATGGCAAGGGCAGAGACTTCACTTTTACATCACATTTAAAAGGGGTGATTTTTGGTCATTAGCAGGTGACGGGGATTGGGTGAATTAAATAACTGGTATATAAAACTGTAGGAAGGTTAAAGCGATTTTCAAATAAAGGTTCAGTATGATAGCATAGAGTATATGTTATATGTAAAAACTACCTTAACCTGCAAATGTATGCATAGCCAATAAATGAGGTACATATTTTTTCTTTGCGAAAATTATGCCAGGTCGTTACATAAATATCAAAAGATCGAGAGGGTCTTCTTACATGAAAATCCGCTTCAATGTAATGTAATATTTAATATAATAATAGCGAATACAACGTGACGCGGCGCGTGATGCGACGCGCGCAGATCCACGAACCGATTGGCAAACTGAGCACCAAAGTCGCCTCCAGTACTTTTTTACCTTTCATCAATCCTTGCTGTTGGCTAACTGAGCTGTTCCCCTTTGTGTGTGGTGGTACATGTACCATTTATACCAGTTAAGCCCTTTTATTAGAGTAGTTTAGTGAAAGATGAGAAGAAAGAGAGAAAACAGGGCGGGAACAAAGCCCTCCCTTCCCTTCCCGTTTTGGTAGTACAAATTTATCCACATTCAAAATGTCATATCTCACTCTATATTTGAGATACTGGAAAAAACGTTTCAGCTTTCAACTTCCCTGGAATAGTTCTTTTGAAAATGTAATTACGAAATTGGGAGATTCAGTTCAAAAGTTTGGAATTGACGTATGAGTGACGTCAGGAAAGGTGAAGTCATAATTGCACATTTTGGTCCCAGAATAGATGCTAATTTGATTGGCTCAATATTTCATATTTTCAGGCCAAGTTTGGTAAAGAAAGAGTTGAAGCCAACAAAGTTATTTTAAATTAACCAAAATTACCGCGCTTTGATGGTCCTTTGAGGGAAGCGGGATTGGTTTGGACCCGCCGTGCTTCTTTTCTTTCTTCCTTCTTTCCTTCCTCCCTCCCTCCCTTTCTTTCTCCCTCCCTTCCTTTCGCCCTCCCTTTCTCCCTTCCTTTTCCTTCCTTACCCCATTTTCCCTTCCCTTCCCTTCCTTCTTTCCTTTGTTCTTTACCCTTCACTCCCTCGACTCCTTCGTAATCCTTCTTTTCTTACTTCCTACTTTTCTTCCTTTCTTCCATCCTTTCTTACTGTTTTTTTCCTTTCTTCCGGTCTCAGCGTAACCTTGCTCTCTGTGACAGTATAGCGGACTGCTTGGCAGTTGTAAAAATGAGTAGAAGAGGAATTAAGGTGTTAGGGAGGAAGTGAGAAGCACGTATAGACAAAAAAATAAAGGAAAGAGTTTGCGAATAAATCCGCTGAACAAATTGTTGTTTATTTCTCGTAACAATTCACTCTATTTAAAATAAACAAAATGGAAACTAGACTGAATGATCAACTAAAGCTAGAAACACATGAAATACAAGGATTTTCGGACGAAATCAACCACTGTTGATATTTGTTTAAAGGAAAGGGAAATAAAAAAGGAAAGTTTAAAAAATGTTCAAACTCAACAGCATTATCGTCGATAATACGAACACGTTTGCAGTAACTGTGAATGCACCATTGCAGAAGTCCTTATCGCTGCAGCAGTAAGCACTACAGCTCTTTAGCGTATCATAGCTGTCATCAGGGAATGTGCCGTCCTCGCACTTTTTTATGTTCTCCTCACAGGCCGTCTTGTGCAAGCACCCTCGAGCTCTATAACTTTTGCCGCTCTTTGTTTTGTAGTCGATCTTTGAGCAGGCCGGTTCAGCAAAGGTGCAGTTTATTTGAACTTTATTGTTATCACAATCGTCTTCGCTTATGTCCGGTTTGCACTCATAGCAATTCAAGGAATATGCTGTTGAGACAAAGGAACACTTCAGTTGACTGATCACAGTGTTTCGGTTATTTTAATGAGGGGACATTGGGGGGGTACCCAATACCGCAATATCGTTATACCGTAAGAGAAATTGGCAAATACCGAACTACCGTGTCGAAAATCGACGAAATACCGATACCGCATTTATGACTGGTCACGCTTACTTAACGTTGTGTCCATCTCGCGTGTTTTTTAATTTGAAGCATGTATACACCAGAAATCAACCTCAGCCTTCGCGAGAAAACGTGAGATCTCGAATTGATCGGTACACCATCGGAAAGCCAGGTTACTCGATGTCCTACCAATTTCATCATAGAGTAACCTTCAGAAATTGCGTATTCATTTACCGTTAAGTCTAAAGTCTTCCAAATATTGACCTGAAGGATCTTCTTTTACCGAATACCCGTTAGCCAGAAGGATGAATGAAACCGCATACCGCAGGGCTGGATGATACCGCAATACCGCACATTAAAATCAAAATTACCGAAATACTGCTTGAAAAAAAGCTCAATACCGGAATACCGTAAACCCCCATGTCCCCCTCCATGTTACTCTGAGACATGCACTGTTCTTTGTATAAGGCAAATCGTAAATAGGAGCTAAATAAATGAAAAAAATATAATAGTTAATAGTTAATACATGCAGATAAGAATAGAATTTAAAACTAAAGTCGATAAAAATGGTTGGTGATTACAACCAAAAAAACCACACACTTGACGATCAAGCCTGTTGACATTTCAGTGCGCTCTGTAATCCATGGTAACCGCTGTATAAGACTATATTGGAAAATAACAATAGAAACACAGCAAAATCAACTGTACAAAGAGCCTCTAAGTAATTTACAGTCGAGCCTCCTGTACGCGACCACCCAAAATGCAAAGACTGAGTTGTCGCTTACGGGAGGTGATCGTTTACAAGAATCAAACCACAGGGGGTCTCCTCCGATAAGAGGTCCAGGCACGTCTACGTTATGAAAGATAATTTATTGCATGGAATGTCTAAGTTACGACATGTGTAGTTCCATGTTCTCACAAAAGTTCTTCGTACATTCTAAGTAGCATAGTGCCCCCACTGACAGCGAACATAGAAATCACAGAATGCGTCAAATGGTCGCTTACAAGAGGTTAAAAACAATGGAAAATCATTAACCGTCAAGCCCAAAAAGTGGACGCGGACGCTTACATGAGGTGGTCGTTTACTAGAGGTTCCAACTGTAAGCCTTTGACTGGGAAAATTTTAGTGTTTTGGATTGGCGGTCGTTTATGGGAGATGGTCGCTAATCAGAGGTGGTCGCACATGGAGGTTCGACTGTATACGGTTATGCTGTAATATCCACTCATACCGAAAACTTTCCTTGACGCGAGACATTCTCAGCAATGCACATAAACTGTTTTCAGCGAAACTCATTAATAAAACATTCTTTGATAGGTCAGTCTGATTTTATTCGCGCTGCGTTTTCCGTCTTCTGATTACCAAGTTCGGACACTGACCTGCAGCCATGCCCTTCAATTAAGAGATTACTACGTTACTTACCAACAGAAAATGTAGCACAGAGCAGTAAAAGACGTAAAACGACAGCATGGGTGTTCTTCACCATCTTTCTTGAAATTCTCTAACCCACAAACTTTTGCCACCGGTGCCGGTCACCGATCGAGTCAGGGACTTCAAATCATCAGGTCAATTTTATAAGAGACTTTATGCAAGACCGATTAAGCATGTTTCCTTAGAGATCGCAATAATATTGTTTTTTTGTTATTCGACCGCAATGTTTTTAGTTTAATATATATACGCGAAAAAATTACTCAATTCTGATTGGCTGAGAAAGGAGTGCAGTTCTTAATAATGGTAAAACATTTATTATAATGCCCAAATTCCATAAAATGTTCAATTCCATAAAATGTTCAAATGCGCATGACTTCTGTAACACAAGTACAAACTTGTAACACGAGTGCAAATTACAAATGGTTTCTGATTAACTGAAAACACAAAAGAAACTACCAAGAACCATGCAATCAGATTAGAACTGTTTTGACAACAAAATTTAAGAAAATGGCCATGGTTTTCAGCCGACGACGATCTGATTATTGTAAACCAAGTTATCTTTAACAGGCTGGTAACCATGTAAAATCAATCCTTGCACATTTCCAAGTTCTTAGCTGAGTGATTTTGAAAGCCTTGGTCTTGAAAAAGTTTGAATTTGACAAAGGTAGTAGTCTCTTTTAGCCAATAAGTTGAAAATGAGAAAAAACGCGCGCGCTGTCAAAATTTGTAGTTGTAGTACTGTTATATATTTTTCGTGTATATCTTGATTAATAAGTAATCAAATGATTTTTCTCGTGCTATTTGGAATGAATAATAAGCACTTGTAAATTTTTCAAAGACCACAAAGTGCACTTGCCCTACGGGCTCGTGCGCTTTTGTTGGTCTTTGAAAAATTTACTCGTGCTTACTTACTCCAAATTGCGCTCGAAATCATGTGATTAGTTTACCTATGCTTATTTTAGTAAGGAATATCCAACAGGCCCATTAATTCTTTAAACATAGCGGCTCATGAAACGTGTCATTTTTTTCTAACATGTACACCCACCATTTGCTGTTTAAAGTCACTTGATTTTGCGCTAGATTCAAAGCTTTATAGTGCCTTATAACTCATCATTAACCATAATTGTAACTTTTTAGTGATTTTTGCAGGCATAAACATTAAAACTCATTTTAAAAAAATCATGATTCATGGCCTTAAATATCTATCGTCAAGACTGTGGCACGGACAACAGAAAACAGTTTCAGTGTTAAAAAATGTAGTCTTAAATAAGACTGGACAGATATTTTTGGAATTCAATTCATGAGAAGATAGAACATTAGTAGCTCCCTAGGCTAACAAGAGGCCGATCAGTCCCGAGAATTTAGGACATTTTTAATTTTGTCCTGTACTGTCTAGTAAACGTGTTTGAACAACGACAACAATGACAACAGGTATCTACAGCTAGTTTTGGTGGGCCCGTTTTTTCTGTCAACGTAGAGAAAATCCTCTAATATCCTCCACTTGGGGCATATCGTGAGAATTCACGAGCGAGCGTCTCTAGTCATTTTCTCAAAAGAAGAAGGCTTTATGCTAGCACGTTACTTGCGCGGGATAATCTGCATTCCCACAAAAGAATCGATTTGTATCAAAGTCTTTGTCAAATCTTAGATGAAAGTAGTTAATCCATGAGCGGGGACCGCAAAATTTGGAATTTCTTACCCGGCTTTATGGACAAAGGCTATCATGATAGCTTTTTAGAATAAGGCCTTGTTCCGTCTACTTTATTTTTATATATCATAGCCACGCCATCGGTGTAGCTTTACCACTGGTGCTGTCATGGCGGTTTCTCACTGTCAGTTCTCGCAGGTCAAAATCGCGGTTTCACATCCCGCAACCCATATTATAATAACAAAATCTGCTTATCCTTTCACGCTCCGCAGCACCATTTAAATATAACTTTATAAATTATATTCAAATATAACAGGAAAGAATCACCATAGCATGACTTTTTGAGAAAACAGGAAGTTGATTACGTCAATGGACTTTTCCCTCCTCGGAGACCCAGGGGAGGTAAGTTTATTGTGGCCGCGCCATTTGTTTCAAAATTATGTCACGACATACGCGCGGTTTTTTGCCACGTATAATTAGCAATATTTCCTGCTTTGTGGGGTTTTTTTTTCTTGCCTGTTCCAGGCGTCCAGATAGTGGGGAGCGGTGCGAATTAAAAAGGAGTGCGAAAAAATAAAAACGAGGGAGGGGGAGAGGTGAGAGAGGGACCGCACCTCTCTCCCCAGTTCCCCCTCTACTTTTTATGTCTTTCTTTACTTCGCACCGCTCCCCACTATCTGAATGTCTGGAACACGCTAGTTTTTTTTTCCCAAGTATGTGACCATTTTCTTCTCATACGTCCGTTCCAGGCAAACATACACTTAATAAACACGCACATATATGCGCACAGCACGAGCCCACATACAGTATATGCGGCGTTACAAACAAACATTTGTATATTGGATCAAAGCGAGGGTCGAATAAGAGGCATCGAATTATACCGTGAGCAATAAACCACGTCATGTACGATGCAGCCGAAAAGTAACTTCAGTTTGAATCAAGCATGGCCGCAATTATTTGACTGCGTTAGTTTGGTTCTTATCCATTGCCCTCGCAGTAGTGGTGGTTGTTGGCTCCCCTACGACAGATTTGTTGGAATCCGTGGATTGTCTCCCCTCAGGAGAGACTGTGAACGTTACAGTCCCAAATGCTGACCGAAACGTGGCAAACTTAATTGTACGACTCAAGGTTTCGATCGATTTAGTTAGAAATAAGCGTTGACAGGCTAAACACGACTCATAAGCTCGTAATAATGTGAAACGTGACCTTGGCAGTCTGCTTGAAAAGATCGTTTTTATTTTTCTTCTTTTCTCTCTTGCGGGAAGATTACTAGCACTAAAGAGTGCATTTAGCATTCTAAACTTTGACTGAGTACAGTGGAACCTCGATTTAACGAAGTCCTTGGTATAACGAACACTTTTCTTCAACCCGGCCAAAATTACAGTAATATGATGGAACAGAACCTCGATTTAATGAATCCTCGTTATAACGAACACAATCCACAAGCGCCGACTTAAAATTTACCTCGACGTAACGAATTGTCAGTATGTGATAAAAGATGAATGCCAAACAGACCACAGGCAGCCCAAGCGCACTATGTTTGGGTTCGGGCTTCAGAGGTCATTTGGTCGGAATATACTAGAATTATTAGTGTATTATCTGATGCCAAATAAATGCAAAAATCTTAAAGATATGAAGTCTTCTTGTTTGTCTATCTGTACTAGTAGCCTTTAAGATAACGAAGGTCGATATTTCTTGCATTATTAAGTGGTTGGGGCCCTCATTGTTCGAATTTTATCACATGTATTCAAATCTACAACACTAAGAAAAAAAATCATGATCACGCGAAATATTGATTCAAAAACCTCCATTACCTTTAGTTCATAGCCAGTCTGTATCCTACGGCCGGTTTAAACGCCGTTTAGTCGGGAAAGAAAGTCGACTAAACGGCGCAAGGTTGCCTCTTTGGGCTTATTTAACCTAGAATTTTCGGAACATTTGTTGTAAAATTTCTTGCTTGCCTGCCTCTCCTAGAATTTTCGAGCACCTAAAAAATGGTATAATAGCCCATTTTTAACGGATTTTTACCCTAGAAAGGTCACCTAGAATTTTCGGGAGCCTTTTTTCTGGCCGAAATTTTCGAAAAGGTAAGTTTTTATCCCTATAATTTTCGGATCACTAGACTTTCAGCTAAGAAATCCGAACAGATGAAAAATTTTTAGGGGATAAAAATATGCCTATATCTTCCGTTTAAATATTAAAATACGTTTAACAATGCTATGTTTAAGTGGTTTTGAACTATATTCTCGTTGGGTGCCCCTGATTTGTTTAACCTAGGGAGTACTTAGGAGTTCTTAGGAACGCAGTTTAAACGTGTCCGTGAGTTCTAGATCGACTGAAATTTGGGAGTGTTGGATTAAGAGGATCGAGAGGGGAAAACTGCAGTACCGGAGTAAAACGCACGAGATAAATTTACAGAATTTGATATTTGAAAGGGAAGAATGTGAAATATCTGTTGTTCAAATTGTTGATTTATTTCTGACACATAAAGCTGCACACTGTTTTACAAAATGTAAACTTGACTGAATTATATACAATGTCAAACCAGAATATTAATTCAGGACAATAAACAATAGTATACAAGGACTGAGTTTGTGACAAAAAAGGTTGGTGCTACTAATAACTAAATTTAAAGTACCTTTCGTTTTTGCAATTTAGTTGCTGTGTGAAGGTTTCAAAAAGAAAAAAATTGAAGAGCTAAGTTAGCTTTCAATACATGTTTAAACTCAACAGCATTGTTGCGGACAACATGACCACGTGTGCAGTAACCGCGAATGCTCCATTACAGAGGTCCTTATCTCTGCAGCATTTAAGGTTACATTTCGTTATTTTATCAGAGTTGCCGTCGGTGTATGTACCGTCTTTGCACTTTTTCTCGATATCTTCACACATCGTCTTTAGCATGCATGCTCGCCATCTAAACTTTTTGCCACTCTCTCGATCAGCGTCTGCCTTAACGCAGACCGGTGTAGCGTCTGTACAATTCATTTCACTTTTGTCTTTGTCACAATCTTCTACGCTTTGGTCACCTGGGCACATATAGCACTTCAAGGAATATGCTGTTGAGACAATGAAAAAAGATGCAAAAGATCACCGCATTATTTTATTCATTATGTTAATGATATATGAAGTAAATCATATATGAACTGCGGAAATGAAATGAAAATGAAGAAATGATCGTCGCAGTGAACGCAATTTATGTAGTTGGGAGCAGGTCAATTGTGGGTTCATATGTTCCCGTGAAAGAAATGAGTGTTAACAATTGTTCACAATTGACCTGCTCCCAACGTCAGTGGCGTCATAGCTCAGTTGGTAGAGCATCGCACCGTTATCGCGAGGTCACGGGTTCAAAGCTCGTTGAAGTCCTGAATTTTTTTTGCAGGCTTCTTTACGCATTTGCATAAATTGCGTTCACTGCGACGACCATTTCTTCATTTTCATTATATTTATTACCATTATCATTATTTATTATAATTATTAATATTATTATTATAACTATTTTTTCATTCATTCATTCAAAATATTTCTCCGTTTATAACTGGCTTAAATCCCACGCATAATTCATCATAACCAGCTACTGTTGACCAAATTTGGAAGAATTTTACGATATGTGAAAAATGACGTCGATAGGACAATTGCATGATGACGACAATTTACTACAACTACCAGAATAGTCAGACGTCGTCATCGTGCAATTGCCCTATTCTACAGCATTTTGCCAGAAAACTGGACAGTTAACCGAGAAGACCTGGGAACGGGATTCAGTTGTTTTGGTAGTGAGTACAAAAGGGCGGAACATTTCACTCGTTTCACGAGAAAGAAATGTGAGAGCTATTGGCTAAAAACGTAGCAACTACGAGCAAGAATACAACTCGTCGGACGACATTCACTATCATGGCTATTTGGAGAATATTGGCAGGGCTGAACAACTCTTTATCTCCTAAACTTGCCAATAAGCAAGCAATTGAAGATGAACTTAACATCGATGAAGGTAAGCATTTTAAACAAGAAATTCTTTTGAATGAATACCTAAACAATTATTGAATTCGGCTTTCGTATCATCTGAAGAATTATGGAGATCTCAGAGGGTGTTATACGATACTCAGACCAATAAAAATAATAATTAATATTCTTATAATTATTATTATTATTGTTTCACACTTTTTTGTACATTTCTTTGCCGTTGTTGCACGACTACGGTCTAGGTAGTCGTTTTATGGGTTGTAGGTCGTCGCTTTCTAGACAACCAGAAACTTCCTAGTTTCACGTTTTATGGACGACGTGAACGCAAATGCAAGGTAACGATTTCTTATTTTGAACTTAGATAAAGTCCTATCAGAAACTCATTATGGGTTTCTGGTCCTATGGAATCAACTCCAGAAGAATTTCCCAATAAAAATCAAGTTATATGAAATGGAACAAGAGTAGTAAAGTTGAAACAGCGTGAACTCGCTTTCCAAGTGACGTTTTCTCTGCCGTTGCCGTCGTGATTGCTTAAGCTTGCTAATATTTCACCCGCTCAGAAGGAGCCATGGTCAGCTTTTTCGTCCTAAGTAAGTCTCATTAGCATTGTAAACATTGGCCCCTCCGTGACCTACCGAGGCGAGTGCAAGAGCTATAGTTTAAGCGCCCTCTTCACAGTACACATGTGATAGCTGCTGGTTGGGAACCGCAACACTCATGCTCACTCCCACGGCATGCATATGGAGATGAGATCAGCTAAATTAAGCTGTGTGCCTAAATAAAGGGCCTTTGATGCTCGGATTTGACCGTTCATTGGTTCATGGCTGCCATTGCCCGGGTGATATGGTTGTATGCATACCGCGGCCATAGCGCAGATTTAATACGTGTGCTTCGGCGTGCTGATAAATAAAGTACACGTGGTGATCGGAAAAGTGTGAGTAAACAGGACCGACTGATGCTGTAGCGTCAAATCTTAAGGAAATAGACAGAAATAGTAATAGTTCATTTATTAGATTTAGAAGATGGACTTCTCCCACTACTGATCTGATTTAATTTGAAGTATTGAAATGCCGAGTTTCGATTGTCTCGAAGATGTTTACATCATTTTCATTCAGCAAATGCGATACAAAAACTCGCATAAACAAAGGTTACACAAGTAGAAAGACACAATAATCAGTTCGAACAAACATTGAAACTTTTCAAGTGCGAAGAGAAAGTAAATTACCTGCATGATTTCTCTTCTCCTCGGCCGTCAATCGGAATTCTGCGTATAAACAGCTAAGCTTATTCAAATATGAGCTTAGCTTATAGATAAAAATGAGGTAACAACAGTGGATTAAAAGCGTAAATTTGAGCAGAAATTAGACACAACTTACATATTTCGCTTCCCTCTCACTTAAACCAGGTGAATTGAAAACTTTTTTAACGAAAAGACGAGATTCTGAATTACCGAGACGGCAAAATACGAGCAAAATGTTCTCCGTAGTCCCGACTACGCGAAACAGCTCAACAACTCACCGTAGCCGCAGGACTACGCGGGAAAAACGAACAGTCACGTGGTTTTGATCATGCGCAGTAGCATGTTTAACCGTAGTCGTAGTCCGTAGTCGCCGTATCTTAAACTCCCTATTTGGACACGCGGGGGACGGAACGCGAGAAGTCGTGTTCCAAGTTAGCGCGAGGGGTGATAGGAAATGCTTGAGCTCTCCTTTGCGCTTTTCTCGTACAGAAGACTGAGAGACCAATGGAGACGAGTCAGGTTCCAATACAGGCAGGTCGCAAGAACGTTAAGCTTTCCATGCACAAACAGAATTATCTGATGTCTGTGAGATGATCTCGTGACACCGAATCTGTCCAATCCAAACCATCTGTATGTTTGCAAAGTTTAACAGTTACTGTTTATTTTTGTTAAATTATTGCCATTTTTTTCTAGGTAAATTTACAAATGAAAGATGTTGCTTACAATTAGTATTAATAATTCCAGTGCTAAGGATCACAGATGGCTATTTCAAAATGCAAAGGTAGGCATTTTCAGAAGGCGCTTTAAATATTTAAACACCCCATGTGGAGGGAAGATTGGAATTGAATTGTTGATGAGCCCATACCGACTCTCAAAACATCCAATTTCAAGTTTTTAACACTCGTAAAATCATCTCCAAAATGTTTGGCACTTTAGATTTTTTTAGCGTTATGGTCCTTTGTCCTTTCATTATTCCGAAAATCGCTTTTTTTTTTTTTGGTTTAATAAAAAAAAGTGAAGTGTCACTTGTGATTTCAGAGAAAAACTGTGCAAAATCAAAATTCTTCTATAGTGACAAGAATATATGTTTCCAGGTAGTTTTTTAGTTGTTGTTGTTGAACAATACAGGGCCAAGCTACCTGCGCGTGAGTATAACCGAACTACAATTATATTAAAAAAAGAAATAGAAAAATTAAAAAAAAACGAAGAAAAAATAGCCATAGCTGACAGAGGTGCTAATTTTGCAAACCAAATTCACTGTTTTTCTCTATTTTTACCACACGCGAGCAAAGTCGGTCCAACGAACAATCAAGATGTTTACCTCACCAAACTTAACTTTTAATGGAAATAAAAAAATTATCTCAATTACTCTCGGGAAACGATATGAGGGACGGAGAAGGATGGAAACCTGAGATGCCTTTTTCTGAAAAATCCCTCATAGTTGTTTTGCCCTAAAGCTCAGTAAACTGGGAACAAAAAACGTGCAACTTGTTTTGCAACATTGCTTCAAAACGAAATGAATAGCGATGTTGTGCGTTTTACCAACGACGTTCGAACCTGTCTTCCAACAATATAAGGTGGAAAGGTTTTCGTGATCAGTAAAACGCGCCACATCGCTTAATTTTCATCTCGTTTTGCAGCATTGCATGTTGCAAAACAAGTTGCACGTTTTATGTAGCCCGTTTTACCGCACATTTATGATGCAAAATTCCTACCATAAATCGCTTGACCTGTGCGATTGACTTTAATTGACCAAGCGCAATTTTTTTCCTTTTATACGAAGTACATTTACGATGCAGTTGTTGTCGACAGCAACGGACATAAAACGTTTTCTCCCAAACTATATTCGCGCTTTTTCTTTGACTTAACCTACCGTTCACACTATAGCGGATAGTAGCTTTTTGCACCGACACAAAAAGCTATCCGATATCATATGAACACCCATCCCATATGTGACTCTCCACTTTAGAGATTCGCACAGCGCAGCTTAGCTCCGTTACACTGAAATCGCGCCAAACACAACGTTCTTATGTTTGAACAGAAGCCCTATCCAGTATGGTTTTCGTGCCGGCGCAAAAGCTGTCTGGTGCAGTGTGAACAAAGCCTTAACCCTTTCACTGCCCGAGTGTTTGATGGAGTTTTGTAAGGTGTCAAGAAGAAAGGTGACTCTAACTTTTGAGTCTGTGGACGAAATCCTATGATGTGACCATTCAAATGAAACCTCTCTGCCTGTACTTACACATGGTGCTATTTGTTTTTCAAAATTTTACAAAATGAAATTTGAAAATCTGGTCGAAATTTGCCTTTGGCTACATTTGGCAGTGAAAGCCTTAAAGAGACAAATGAGACCACCTTACGTACGTCGTACCTACTGAAACAGTAGCAGACAGCAGCAACGCAACAGAAAGGGCGTTCTTCAGCATCGTTCTTGAGCTCACCACCTGTTACTGACAGTGCCGAACAGTATTCACGAGATTTATCTTAAAAGACTAATTATCTGAAGTAAATGCTCCCAGCCGCTCTCAACCTGCTTTTCTATGACTCACAGCAACCTATCTAACCGATGGTGGTAAAATGTCGACGAACACGCCAGCAAAGAATTTAATATTTCGCCAATTAAAAATCTGTAAAGAAAGGAAGGCACTTTCGCAAAAAGGGCTTATCCCATTTACCCGAGTTTGGAATACTTAGTACATTTATTCACTTACTTTTGAGGGTTATATAGTTTAGCAGTTTTTTCGCTGTCAAATGTTACGGAACCTCATTAAATAATAAACAAAACCTACAACTAATAAAGTTGCTGTTCACATGGTTCACCCCTGTAGTTCTGATGAATAGCTATGAAAAAGAAGTTTTGAACACCTTCCTCTAGTCTGTTTGTCGGCACAGCTTGATAATTATTAGATGCCTAGCAGTGGCCATGGAAAGTTACATCCAACCTTAAAGTCACGCACGATCAGAAATTTCGAAGACCGATTTACATCATCTTTTTCATTCACGTGGGTAGCAGCTATTCATTATAATTAGTTGCAAAAGGAAGCGTTTACATAAGAAAAGACTAGCTTAGGACACCAACGTGGACCCCGTTATTTTTTTTGGACACCAACATGGAGGACCAGTCAGTCGGGGGACGTCACGGTAGAAAGGCTCAGTCTTTTCTGCCGACAGATTATATCTCCCAAAAGCGTTGTAATTTAGACGAAACGAAGTTTTTCAGCAAAATTATCCATTTCCATGTAGGACATAGTCGAATATTATCCCAAAATACTATAAGTTGAAAATAAGTTGAGGAGGGGGTAACTTGATGTATCACATAACTGAAAAATATCGTAAAGAATACTTTTGTTGAAACAATAGTTACCGTGTAAAATTTATACCTTTTTGTGAGGCTAATCAGCCGCATTCAGTTTGTTATGTATATCCGGGGGTGAGAATTTGAGGAGGGATCCTAACTTTTTGAAAGGAAATTGTGGCAACTATTTCTGTAGAAAGGAGATGCAAAATTTTTGTTAAATTCGTCTTAAAGTTTATTGAGAAACCATTACACAGTTGAAGTTCCCTTCTTCCAAGATAAAGGCGGTTTACAAAAGGATTTACTGACTGTAATATGGATATGCCACATAGCAGGAAGCGGTTGTAAGCGATGATTGTAACCTTTTAAAATTCTGTCAACTTTTTAGATCGGCCAAAAACTATGCTGGTTAACGAGGTTATGCTATCAAGAGGACTGTCGTTGGGAAAAACGACTTTTATAAATAGTCACAGCGTTTAGATCACAGGGAAGGAAAAAAATTACAGAACAACGCTGTGCATGCTTGCGGGTATAAGCAATAAATAACAGGTTGTACATTTTAGTATTCTTTATCTCAAAATATTTTATTACGGCTATGAATGTAATAACATACAAAATTAAAAAAGCAAGAAAAAAAAACAAGAAAACTAAAAAAAAATATAACACGCGTATCTAGCTGTCAGTTAGCTCTGTCTTATCGGACACGTTAAAGACAATTTGCATCCGATTTTTGTAGTCTTGAGTACTGTTTACATGGACGGAAGGAAGATTTAAGCACGAGGAAGATCCCAGAAGGCTGAACATCTTGTCGTTGGTTTATATGCGAGACAACTTAGCCGGGGTGTGTAACCAGAAACCCATTTAAAAAAGCTGTTTTTAATTAAAAGTGGTCGGTTTTAAAGCTTCTTTTTTTGGGGGAGACTAACGAATCGATCCTCGACACCATTTTCTCTTCGTTACCTGTGTAAGTCTGTATGGCGCTAGGATAATCCACCCTGCCCGAAATCTTCCTGGTGCCACGAACTTTTTCCCTCATGCACAACATCCCCAATTTCTGGCATCAATAAGTTACTTACAAATAGCATACATTATTTTAATTTGTATCCATTGGTTTGTAGCGTTCCGAATTTCCTCCCCTCCCCTAGGCCCTCTCATAAAGCAATACATTTGTGCACATAGTACTCGCACAAAAAGGCTTTAAAATCAGCATAATTCATATTATTGCGACTCGCTAGGTTTGTTGTAACTTAAGATCAGCACAAAAACTTATCTTTTAACACCGTACCCTTTAAACCTAGTAAAACGGTGCCTCAACTATGGACAAATAACTCAATGTTGTTTAGACCATAAAGTGCAAACACGTGCAATTAAGAGTACAGAAAACAGTCAATGCATTCCTTTTTAATCTTTCATCGAAATATGAACATTAAATTATGATATTAAGGATTTTGAAAGCTTTGAAGGTACTCAATTGCTATGTGTTTGCAAATTGTCCTTCTTTGACCACTGTCAAAGAACGACGACCAATCCTTTTAACGTGAAATAAGTCTCCTCAATTGCTAAAATAAAATAAAACTGACATGCGCCATCGGTAGAAAAGGAAGTCGTGGTTGAAACTGAGAGTCCCGAAGTGAAAGGTCATAAAAAATTAAATTTGTGAAATTCTGGGATTTGCTGGGACATGCATTCTAAAAGAATCACATCCAACAGGCCTACTTGCCAAAAACTATGGAATTCCGTGCAAATTGTCTCGAGATATTAGCCCAGTTACGCTCTGATGTCTCCTCCTGGGCAAATTGCCGGGCAAATTTGGAGTGATCAGAGCATAGCTGGGCTTATATCGAGATACAATTTGGCCCCGAAATGCTACTTCTAGCCATGCAGGCTCTTTAGATATTGTCCTTTCAGAATATCCCGACAAATCCCATAATTTCACAAATTTAAATTTTTGTGACGTCATCACTTTGAAACTTTATAATCATCACTATGCTAAACCTCGAATTCATAAAACTTTACAGAAACTGGAAATATAACATTTGATTTTCGTACCTTGCTAAAGTTTACGCAGTAACAACTAGGAGCGGCGCGGAGACCATGTTACCCTGCTTCTGTTTTTTTTTTTTTAATTTTTAATAACTCTGCCTTCTTTGCTTAAAGGGAAATGATTACTAGCATGCATCTTTGCTGTCTTTGCTAGATATATCCAAATCTGCACAATTTTATTTCCCATGATGACAGAATCGTAATACAAGTTTCAATAAACTAGGTCAACGGTTCCCAGTTAAAAAGTTTTACCTTATGCATCTAGCCTGCGTAGTAGGGGCTGGTGTTTTTAGGGCGAAGGAAGAAATCTCGAGACCCGCGCCTGCTACGCAGGCTCTAAGCATTATTGAAGTGCTTATACCTAAGTATTTAAAAAGTTTCATTGCTTTGCCTCTACAGGACCAGCATATCCTTAAAGTGAGCAGGTCTGAATAGGATAAAAGCCTTTAGTTAACAACTTACTCACAGAAAATTAGAGCTGTTAATGTTCCCCTGGCTTGGCACTTTTACTGCCAAGGCAAATATTGACACAAAACCCCGCTATATACTACATACGCCCTCCGAACAAAAATAATCTATGCGAGGGTCTTCTAATAAAGGAAAACAAACATATCTTGAAATAAGGTACTAATATAAACAGGTTCTGCCCTGTTACTACAACAGTTTTTATTCATTTTTTGCCAAGTTCATGAAAAATTTAACTTTTCGACAAATTTTATCAAAATTCACACTTGAATACTCTGCTAAGATCATCGCTATCGATTGATTCCATTCATGGATTCTTATGAAAAGGAAATGATCTGCCACATTAATAGATGTTCTACACTGTACTTGAACTTTCACTGGAAATTCTACTATTCTAAGAAATATATCAACGAAATTAATCTCTAAGCTAATTTAAAAAATACTTGACATGCTGCTGTAGCTTCCATAGCTGTCCACACTTGCTCGGTCGCTGCCCCCACGGTACCCTGGGTAGGGAGGGTGTGATGACACCTGTGGCCTTTGAATTAGCAATCGAACTTCCGATGGACAGTTTCGAAGAATAGAAAGGACTTCCTGTAGGGAATACACCAAAAAATGATGGCATATTTCAATGATTTCTGAAAAAGTTCATCGGACTCAGGAATCGAATAGCTTAATAAAGGACCCGAGTTGTGTTGCAAAAACATCGGATCAATTTAGGGTTTCTAGGAAACTGACCACCTACCCCTCCCCAAAGCCAACATTATCTCACTCAGGGCAAAATGATGGCTTAGGAGAGGGGTAGGTGGGCAGTTTCCCAGAGACCTTAATTGATCCAAAACATCTTAAGATTAATGGCACCCGTAACAATTATTTCAGAATTCACAAAAGGTAAGAGCCCTCTTATCTTATTGGCTGATTTTGCAACAGAACGGAAACGTCAATGACGACGACGCGCGCAAATCAAACAACTGGCTTGACCAATGGCAGAGAGGCAAACTGGACGCCGGACGTCGCGTTTCCGCGCGTTCCCGTTCCGTTGCTAAATCAGCTTAGTATGCTTTCTATACAACCCGACCCAGATCTCTAGTCCAAAATATTTTTGAAATGTGCCTAAAATGTTCAGTTCTGAATTTTCTTTGGATTTTAAAACCATCTCAACCCAACAAATGTCTCCTCCAAAGATTGTAAAAATTCAGCGTTGTAAGCCACCATTTTTCCATGTTACCCGAGTACCAGCTGGGCTTTTTCTCGCGACACCAAAGAAGTCTAGTGAAATTACAGTGGCTTAACAGACTGTGTAGGGAGAAAAAAAAGCACAATCGATGCTTGATTAGCCACTGTTTTTCTTCCCGCCAAGAGTCACCCCAAGGCAGGAGGCCAGGCTGCTAAGCTGCTCTACTATGTCTTTCAAGACGAATCCATACTTAAAATTCTTACTCTATAGCTCATTTGATCCACATTCTTGTTGTTCACTTGAAGGATGATATCGTTCACTTGAAGCTGTCCTGACAAAAGAGCTGAACCTCCCGGAACCAACTTCTTAATATAAATTGGACCTTTAATAACAATCATACATGTAGAAAACACTCTTTAGGGTGGATTTCCACTGTCACGTAATTCAGTTTAACGCGTGTAAAAATTTACTTGTGCAAATAAAATAGAGGAAATGTACGAAAAGTCGTGTGTAAAAGCAAAAGTTGAACGCGGGTTCAACTTTTACGTTAACGTGCGACCAATCAGATCTCTTCGCCTTTTCCCCTTCAATGTTGATTTCGAAACATTGCAAGTTCATGACCGCAAACTCGTGGGGACTGGGTGATAACAGCACCTCCTGGACACGACTTAGTGTATGTTTCCTTTTTCAAAAGTGCTCCTAATTAGGTTTCTGGTAAGTTAGAAACTTTACTGAACTTTCTTTTGATTGAAAAACTTTAACAGCAGCGCAAGCCTCTTAAATTGAAAATAAAATATTGTTTAGAAATCCGCATTTTTTCTTAGCAACTTCTAATAAGGCAACTCAAATATTTAAAACACCAAGAAAGCATGCAATCGCAACAATAAGCATTTTCATTGAATAAAAATGTTGACGTTTTAATTAGAACTTAATAGACCCTGTACCTCCACTATCTCCGCCCGTAAGGCTCATCCCCAGGCCATTCTGGCCTTTGGCTAGATAGACCTCAAATGGTAGATCATCCATATTGTAATCTGCAATATATACCAAGAGTAGTCACAAATAATACCTAAGGGGAGTGAAACATTTAAACCTGATGACAACAGGCTGTTAGTAATCACTTGATATCACCTCCGACCGAACCGTACCGATGAATTCACCAATGGATCAAGGTTTGGGGGACTCAAAGTGAGGACTTTTGGTAAATTAAACCATGCGCAAACTGGTTCTAGAATGAAAGAACAATTCAAATGCTAGAAAAAAGGTTTCCAGAGTGAAGTACGAAGATTTCTAATTCTTTCTACACCCGGTTATAGTGCCTTTATTAGCCAGTAAATCACAAATCATGGAGTCTCTTGAATTTTAGTTATTTAAACTCTGCATCTCAAAGGCAACGATTTCGGAAATTAAAACAACTCGGTAATGACTCTGATAGATTTATAAAATTATTGCTAAAGGGTAAGAGATCATAGAGTTATAAGTGGCTCGCCTTATAAGATGCCATAATTAACACACTCGAACTAACCAATCAGTTTCTAGAATTTAATATATTGACAGATGAGGGATTTACCGTTACGGTATTTATTCGATTAAACGCCGCCCTCGATCAAACGCCGCAGATGGAAGCAAAATTACCAATGAACGCCGCCGTCGAATAAACACTGCACCTACTCAGCAGAGTAATAAGTCTAGAGAAACCTCGGTACAACTTGGTAATTATTATCATCCAGACGTTTACGATTCTATCTCAGCAAAATAAGGGAGTCATTTGAGCCTTTAAATTACATAATGTTTACAAACGATTTACAATTACTGTTGTCAGTGATTTTAAAAAGTGATTTCGAAATAAACTCCACCCTCGAATATACGCCGCATAGGAAACGCTAAAAATTTAATAAATGCCGCGGAGTTTAATCCAATGAATACGGTAATGGAGTTGAAACCAGTTGTCGAATTGCACGGGTTTTAGGCATCCTAATTATGATCTTTTACGACTTATAGATATTGCCAGCAAGATCAATTCGCCATCTATCCCCTTCGAACTGATGGTTGTGTTTTAGTAATACCAAAAGTATGCGTCATGAGAACCCTGCCCCTACCCCCATCTCCCCTCCACCCTCTGCCCCCATTTAAAGTATTTTACAAGGACGTTTTTCTTCCCTTACACCATCATCATATGTTGTAAACCTTACCATTATAGTTTTCCGGTTGATATTGATTGTAGTGTACAGCCCCATATCTTGACTCTTGAGGGGTTGGTGGTCCACTGCTATTTGTCATGTGATCTTCAGCCGAGCATTTTTCTACGACAAGCTGAGCGATAATTGGAGAGTTTCGGAGAGCGTCAACTGCCTAAATGAGCATATATCATTGATTACGTATAGCAATTTTTGTCAAAAATACTTCAATTAGATGTCGATTATTTTCTGATCACAAAAGAACAAAAGTAAAGGCCTCATAAGGTTCTCTTTAAAAACTGAATAGAGGATCATAAAGTTGTTTTCTTTTCCATTCTGTGCGGCAAGATGCAGTTCTAGGATTTGACGCCTTAAAAAAATAAAAATATTTTTAGCTATCTTTCATTCGTCTTGGTCTTTGTTTCTTTCACCTTTATCCAGTCAACTTGAAATCTAGTTCTATCACATTAATATTTATATCATAATTATTCATTATCGTTGTCACTGTTATTATTAATGAGGGGTGGGTCAGAAAGAAATAGGCTAAACTTCAAAAAGTTTGTCCGATGTTTTAAAATTATAGTCTGTTCACTCCTTGGAGAGTGGCCTGTTTCTCGAAAGTCCCGGAATCTTTTCGGGCCTGAAGAACTGTTTTATGTTTTCCGTGTCTGCATTCAAGGTCAAAGTTTCAATAATTTTGAAAATGATACAATGAAACTATCAGTTAACGAAGCAAGATTGACAGGTTTGTGAGCTACGAACTGTGGTACTATTCAACAGCTTTTGATTTGATAATTTGTCTTCGGGCCTGAAAAGCTACCGGGCCTTCTTAGAAACGAACCCCTGATATCTAATATTGTTGTTTAAAGGCCATCATAACAGAAAGTCATAAAATTCACGAAAGATCCAATCGTTTACGAATAATAACAAATAGAGAAGTCTGAGCGGCTCCCCAATACTGCTTCATTCCAGACCTCGCATCATCAGACCATATATTCAAAATGGCTGACGTAGCAAAGACCGACTGATAAAATGAGTGATGTTTACTTATTTATTATGATCTAATCGTCTGCGAGAGTTCCCCCACCCCCACCTAGTGTGGCAGTGTTGCTACATACCTCTTGTCTTGTGGCGGCTGTTAAGTTGACACCATTTACGGCAACTATTCTGTCACTTATGCCTATCCTGCCATCCATGGCAGCTGCGCCATGCGGGTTGATAGTTTTCACGAAAATACCTCCAAAATCTGGACCACCCTGGTAAAAAGCCATTTAACAATAAGTGGGTTTTATTTATAAATGTTTACACAAACTAAAAGCTATCATCATTATATGCTACTTATTAACCGAGAGTGAGGTCATTACACGAAAATCTCAGACCGAGGCCTTGATGTGTTGACCGAGCGGTAGCGAGGTCAACACACCAAGGCCGAGGTCTGAGATTTCCCCGTAATGGCCGAACTGACGAGGTTAATAAGTTATTTATTATATGGCCTTTTCATTTTTTGCGATCAATTGAAACTAACAACTGGCCAGCGAATAATTTTAAAAAACACGTCACTTCAATGAGTAGTACACTTGAGCCCGCGATATAGTCATGTGACACTGGTCAGCAGATGCTTTTTTGACAGCTGTCAATTGACCATAACATGCATGTCCACTATCAAGTTAAACACAGATTGTATAATTATGCCTTGGACACCTAGCTAGTAATGCTCGGTCATTACAAGAAAACAGTCAATCAGAGCGCGCGTACTGTTGTAGCCATATAATAAAATGGTATAACATTAATGCCAAGTAATAACGGTTACATAACCGACCCTACTAAAGTAATTAATAAACTAATATCATAGGTGACGAATTACTCCTTAATTTTGGCGTGAAATTTCAACGTTAATTTGTAATTTCACTTGTCAAATTACTAAATTGCCATGGTAACCTGCCGTACGTCTCCGTTTCAAGATAGCGACGAAGTTTTAAAATGTCATGAATGAAGATGTCAGGGCATAAAAAGATGCTTTAGAAAACCTGAACAAACGAAAGAGCACATCAAGAAGGATTCTTAGAGGTATGTTCTCGAAAGATTTTGAAAACTTAAGCCAAATTTCAGCTCTAAACGTTGGAGAGAGAGTGGAGTTCACGATCGATCGATCCAGGATAAACAAGTCAAAAATCCTCGATTGCTAAAGTAATTCGTCACCCATGATATTAAAAGGTAATCAAATGGTATACTCGTGAAATTAGGAAATAATTTCACTTGCGTTTTGTCCAAATCCTAATAGAAAATTATTCCCTAATTTCACTCGTCATCATTTGATTACACATACAAATAACACATCGATATAAAAATTACGCTGTATACGTAAGATGTCTATGAAGTTTCATTCAAAAGAAACTAAGCCAGTCTTCTTCCTAGGCACCATTGGCAGTGAGTTCCAGTCACTTTCCCAGTATTGTGTAAGGCGGCCCGTCTTCCTTGCGGATGGAGTTTTGGCTTGAGGTGTGTCAGATAACACTCATAGCAGTAAATAGAATTGATAAAAAATAAATAAGGTCTGGATAGACCTATAATAAACACTACGATTTCAGTTTTCGGACACTCTTGTTTTCATATAATCTGATTTAAATCTTATGTAGCATTACAAGAATACACACTTACCACAACACTAAATCCAAACGAATTGTTCATCTTCTGTAGTTCAACAAGGATGCAATTTGGCTACACACAAGGAACGAGGTGATCAGATCGTTTTTTATGTATGCCGTTATTGTAAGCTAGTTAATTACGTAGGGTTATGAATAAGTTGTGTCAAAGTTATAAAAAGAAATTCCCTCAGTTAGCTCGAGCTCGAATGTCCCTCAAAAAAAAGTCGTCTGCATCTGCCAATGCTGGCGTTAATTTAGTAGCAGGTGACTGCAAAACGAGTTGAAAAGCAATGTTGCGAGTTTTAACACACAAATTGATTCAAACCTGTCTTGCAACAAATCAGGTTGTTGGAGGTAGCTAAAAGTTGTTGCAGAAAGTAGAGAGTAGTTCTACTTTTTGCAACAAAATCTGTACTTGTTACGTGTTTTACAGGCCCAAGCTAAGGCAAACTTGTTTTGCAGCAAGTGACGTCACTCCCGTGTATGGCGTGACTGCTGTGTAATTTTATCCAATGAGAAGTCAGTATCACACAACTTGCAGCAACCTTTATTTGTTTGAACTTGGGTGATGAAAAGTGCAACATTTCTTTTCAACACGTTCTGCAGCAATGTTGCAAAACAAGTTGCAGGGTTTTGTTGCCCGTTTTATCGTAGATTTAGTATAAAAATTGGCAATCTTACCGATATCGCTAAAAGATCCTCAACATTTTCCAAATAAGGTCCTTCCGGTTCTGGCTGCTTATAGCGCTCAATAACTAGTGTAGCTGTGGCAGCAGAACGTCTGAGCAACTCAACGGCCTGTACGCAAAATGTTGAAACTTTTTTATTTATTCACTTACTTACTTTCAAGAGTCGAGAAGGTTGGTGTCAGGTGAACTTCAAATGGGCACAGGATACCTACTAGGTATTTAATTAAACGTGTTTTTATTTATATATATATTTATGTTTTAGTTTCAGATGCCATTATTTTAACCAACACGTAGAAATTGGATGTGAATTTACTTACCGTTAGGCCCGGTTCAGACGCTTCTCCACTCATGTGCCGAACCTAACTGATGATTTAAGTACGGCAAAAGAGCGGAGTCTGAATCAATTTGGTACGGAGAAAGCGTTTGCTGCGGCAAACGTTCGACAGAGTCTGTCGAACTTTTGTCAAACTTAACTTAGGCTCGACACACGGTGTGCCGTCTGATTTAGATGTCGCGCAAGAGTAGCTCCAAAGTCGAACTTATTCAGTTAGGTCCAGCACATGAACAGTAAAAGGCGTCTGAACCAGGCCTTACATACTCAATTATTGCATTTTGGATTCCAATTTATATCGAGGCGTTTGAATTTACAAAAAATATTTACAAGTCAATCGTTATCAACCCAAAATTACGTGGCAATATTCATTCTCGTCATCATCATCGTAATTCTTATCAAAATTTATATTCAGGGTAGTTCTTTTCATCTGAAGCTTCGCTGCCATCTTCAGTGTACCTGTGTGATTACTAATATATGATTTACCGTAAAACTAGGCATTTTTATCCTACCTGTTTTCGATTTAAGCCCTCCATTGAAACTCCATTTATTTCCACTATTCTATCACCTGGTAAAAGAGTAATAATGACATGTTCAATAAACCATTGAACAAGAGGGCATTTCCTTTCTCTTTACGTAAAAGGGCGATTGTATCGTACACAATTATATCTCTCAACAAACTATGCCCAACCATGTCGTCTCTCGAGCTCTAAACAATTATCTTTGTACTGAAAATTACAGTGTGTAATAAACTGAAAGTTGCTGACCCCGCTCTCTACTTGATAGCTGTTTTTCTGAAGGCCCCAATTGTGCGTACTAAAGGAATGTGTCTACGATAATGCCATTGGAATGCCTATCAGTTATATGCATTTTTCAGCCATTATACAAGCATAATGTCTCCTAACCCTAAAAATATAAATGACGTTAGATATTATAACGTCAGTCATTTTAATAGTTGCTTTAAGGTACTCTTCTCAATTGTCAGTTAGCAGAGTCAATTAACATCTTTGTCAATAATGGATAACGGTCTGACAAACCTGAAAAGGGACTATGTAATCATATACTATCGCCTTTGCTTATGTATTACTACAACATCTTATTGAAACAACCAAAAAGGGAGATCAAAATATTTTCAGCGATTCTCTTGAAGAATAGATGATCGTAAGATCAACAGATCATCTGTTACGTTATGCAAAAATGTCGTGGCCAATCAAAGACAACAAGCGTATGATTGAAGAACGCTATTGTACCTGATTGGTACTTTGATTGAAAATGTGATGGTTAAATAAATAACAAATTCCCCTCGCACTGAAAATCACCCAATCAGCTTCGTTGAGTAGGAATATAATTAACCAGCAATATGAGAATAAATTTTTTAGTGTTCAAATCTTAACTGTTTGAGGCTACGAAAACAGAGGAAGTTCCTAAGGCTACACTAAGAAGTGAAACAATCATGGTAAATGTCTTTCCCACAGTTGATCATGAAAGAGGTAGGTAAAACTTCTCAGTCAATTTATAGCTTACTTTCGAACTTTTCCTCCACATTTTCAATGAATGTAGTGCTTTTTCAATCTATTTGAAAGTAAGCATTTGTTCAATCACTGAATCAATTAGTAGAAAAAAGTTTCAAACCATTGTGTATTTTTCCCGATGCTTCTGCGGCTCCTCCTGGAAGAAGAGACTTCACGTAAATGCCATCGAGTTCAGGTCCTCCCTGAAATTTGAAAAAAGAGGAGCATACAATAAGAATGAAAAAGAAAACATATATAACATATTATAGAAAGAATAAGAAAGACATGTACAGGAATCAAAACAACCTTAGCTATTTAACTAAATTATTCGACTGGAAAGCAAAATATTACGAAAGTTTTGCATTGTGCCCATGATTCGAGTTAAAGCTAGTGCAGAAATAAAGAACCGTTAATATCGAAACAGTTAAATGGTTAAAAATGAAGCGTTTTTAAGGAGGACGCGGACGTGTTATTATACCAACTCTCTCAGGTTTTTTTTTTTTCTTCAACATTGTTGTGGACCGAAAATCAAGGTTATTTTTGTTTTTAATGTCGCCAGTTATTAATTATTGATGACGTGCAGGAAAAAAAAAAAAGAATTGAAATAAAGAGTTCATCGAGAAACCCCGCTGTTCAATATCCAAACTACACTTTCCTGGAAAACAATATTTCACTAAAATAACAATGCACAACTTCAATATTAAGAACATTTTAGTTATCACATATAAGAAAGAATTTAATCCTTCTTAGAGCAAGAACTATGCTCAAGTGACAAATTCTGGGGAATTTCCGTGAGCTACAAATCTCTCGAACGTAATGGTTGTACATTGCGAAAATCTAATTTAAAGTTTTCGTGGTTCTTATTAAGTTCAAAACACGTTTTGTAAATTATTCAAAACTTAGAGTCGGTATAATAACACCTGTGTTTAAAAGGAAATCGCCATTAGATTCCCAAGAGCTCTGAAGATATGAGATTTGTAGAAAGTTTCGGCGAAAATCATGATTATTATTAGTCTCGGCCTCTCAGAGGCGTGGTATGAAACAATGTTTGTCTCAGCACCAAACTAATGTCCTTTATCTAGATTGACTAATGGACTCACCGTGACAAATAGTTAATGATTTTTTCGACAACTTAGTTGTGGTTTTCTTTTTAGGGCCTATGAATCGGATGAAAATGATTGTGGCGCCTTCCGAAAGAAAGACCCTCAGAATTGCTAATTCCTGAATTATTAGAATAGCTACTTTCTGAGATTTGTGGAGAGAACTGACATGATTACATATTGTTCGCTTACATTTTTGAAAACGTAAATTCGTAAGAGACCGTTTTTTTGTTGTTGTTTTTTTTTTTATCTATAGTGGACCCTCTATATAACGAAGTCCTCTTTTTAACTAACGATTTTCTTTACCCCCGTAATAGTAAAATATATTGAAAAGAACCTCGCTATAACGAAAGCTCGTTATAACGTTTAAATTTTGCCAGCCCCTTGGCACTTCGTTATATCGAGGTTCCACTGTAATGTTATTTTTACAAGGATTGGTTCAGTAGAGACAAGAAGCACTTTACTCTCTTTTTGGACAAAGTTTTGCTTTCAAAAATGCTAATTTCTGAATCAAGTCAATATCAAGAGAAAAAGTTTCCTTTGAAGAGTAACATAGCTATAAGAAACACCTAGTAATTTCTTAGTTCAAGTCAAAAAGTTAGTTTTTAAAAGCATGATTTTTATTTTTGTATAACGAAGGTGAAATATCAGAGCCTACTAATGTCGTATCTCCAGAATTTCAAGTCAACCTTACCGTTACATTAAGGCCGAAACTTCCGTTGAGTTTAGGAATTTCAATAGGAATATACTCCTGAAAAAAATATTCACATTAGTCTAGTTTTACAAAGTTGGACAAAAAGTATGACCGCGATTAATGAAATAATTTACAGATTAATATTTTGCAGTCAACCGAAATTTCACGCCCTTTGTAAAAAACTTCAACCCTCCCTTATTTTCAACACGGAATGTATATTTTCATGATTTTTTTGCTTATTTATTTTTATGTACATAAGTATTTATTAATGTTTGGTTTATTGTGTCTTCGTGTGTTTGCAACAAATAAAGATAAAATTAATAATACAGAGCTTGCGTCACTGACTCTTATTTAGAATTTACTGTTGCGACATTTCAGTAATCTCCTCGCACCTGCTAAAGAAATGCGTCAAAGTGGGTTAAAAATGATTGGCGCTAGATAAACTAACAATATCGCCTTAGAATATAACGCATGTGATAACGTCATCCAATTTTGGCAGAGCCTGACAAAGTCTTTGGAAGCTAATTTACTTGCAGACGAGAGGGGAAGTTTAAATTGTTTTGTTAGAGGTCAAACGTGCTGGCTTAATGAAATGTCAATGAATGGTTAGGAGTTTCACAAATGCCCGCAGCCATTACTATTGATTGCCTCCGTGTTCATTGAAGTTACTGTAATGGAGTCGGGCTAGTCGAAATCCAAATCCAAATCTGACAAATTCATGTTAATTTACACGAAATATAATGCAAAACAGAAGTTCGTTTTAGTGGTACACGAAGTTTATTTTACTATGTCAAGTTATGCTTAAGTAATAGCCTAATTTCTAAATTTCTCAATCCTTTTTGCATTAATATTCAGAATCTAGAAACTACTCAATTCAGCTGTCTACCCAAAGGACTGATTTTTTTTCTACTGTCACACTCGATATTGTTGCACAAATAACATTAGTTTTTCTTTGTTTTCAAGCATGGTTGATACGATACAGTGAACTGGGATTACTTCATTTATTCAACGGGGGTCAATTCAATAATACTCCTGCAAGTGTAATTTTCACTTGTGGCTATTGTTTTGAACCATAAAACAAAAGCTATACTAGTAAGTTAAATTTGTAAAAGCTTTATTAAATTGACCCCAGCTTTGAAGTACAGTGTCCATTAAAAACAAGGAAAACCTTTAAAAGAACTCCAAATACTGGACTCCAATTATTTTAAGTTATTTAGTACTCGACAAATTTAATTAATATGTTATAATCGGCATTCTGAGTATCATGTCTATATGAAACTCAAACGGTCAAAGTTGATGACCGTTTTCAAACTCTTATTACTGCGTATTACTCCACAAAGTTCCGTGAGGTAAAACCTAAGCACATGACTTCTGACTGCCTAGAGTATATCAGTCACACGCAAGTACAATGTACAATACACAAGCATACCAATGTTATAAATAGGTATCATGACGTGAAGGTAAAGAAAACATGTCATCCCCTCCGATATGTTTATAAAATTTCTCATCCTTTGCTCGCTAAATTTTAAGCTTTTTGTACCCTTAGCTCTCTCCTGAGTTCATGCCTGACCAGGCGCAATTTATATTGAGTTATTAAAAACTGACTGATCTAAAATGATTGGGTTTCTACCCAAAAATCTCCTCTAACAATAAACTGAGTTGACTACATCCATACTTATTGGCCGTTAAGTCAGTTTCTAAACAGTAGTTTCCTTCTTGGTCTTAAAGAAGCTAGTTGCTCTATAGATTAGGGACCTTTTTTCATCAGCATCTCTAATACCATCTTTGTTGTCCTCGCTAGTATTTACTACTTGATCTTTCCCTTCATCAACGTGAATTTCAGTTCCTCCTTCAGCTAAAAATGGCGTATTGTCCCCAGTTTCAATTAATTCGATGGAACTTTCCTCATTCTCCTCTACCCCGTTATTTTTATGTGTCACTTCCTTTGCTTCTGGCATGCTCAAAGTTAGAGCCTCTTGTACTAAGGGTGGGGAATCCTGGAATGGTTCCTGCGGAGTCATTACTTCCGCAGACGTCGAGGGCTTTTCAATAAAAGACTTGTCGCGAATGAATAATTCTGGGGCTTGGGGGCCACTTAACAACAAAGTTTCAAGTTCATCCCTTATGGCTTCGATCTCCCCCACGTTAAAAGACTCCGAAGTCATTTCACTAAACTCGGAATCAAAGTCGCTTTCACAGCAAGAAGATTCTGACTCTTCAGAATTTTTTACTTTTGGCGGGCTGGGAGAAAATAGAAACGATTGAATCTTTCTGAAAAAGCCAGCCACATTTGAATCATCATTAACTGCCCCGCCTTTTTGTTCAGGTGTACTCAGTAATTGTGAATTTTCATCTATCAAGGGTTCCTCTACACTGTTTTTCCTCTGGTTTGCTAGCGATGTGGGGCTGCTCTGTTCCACAATAATCACGTTGGCTTCCTCTCCCTTACGTGTTTCTCCCTCCCTTGGCAAACCATCCCAACGGTCTTCCCTGCTGTCAGTCACAGCTGCAGCCTCGAGGGAAGCTTTGTCTCCCATTGCCAATTTCTTTTTCATTGCCCTTGCCCTGATCTGAGCGGAAACAAAAGCAGTATTCCCCCTGAAGGGTTGAACTACCGTTCCCTCCTCATTAAGTCGTTTTGTTTGGTCTAAGCTAGTCGTACTGTTACTCACGGTAACTATGTCTTCAATCTGCTGACTTTGACTTGGAACGAACTGCTGCTGCATTGAGGAGTACTGCGACTCTACAGAGGGTTGTCGTTGCATCATGGACTGCATCTGCTGCTGTCTATTCGGCTGATAAAAGGCTGAAGCAGCCTGGGTTCCTGGCATTGCCGGCTTTCCGTTCGGCGTGGCTGGGGCGGCAACACAGCTTTCGATCAACAAAGTGCAAACGTAAGGAGCTGTCCGCAGAATGTTAACCGCCTACAGAGGTAAAGGAATGTGACAAAGACAACTAGTGAACAACCATAGCCAAACATTTCTTTGGCAAGAAGTAAAGGAATGAGGCAAAGACAACCAATGAACAACTATAACCGTACGTCTCGTAATTGGTAAATATAACCATCCACAACTGACAGGTTTACCAGCAACATTCCGGTCTGCAATGTGCCGTCCACACGAACGCGGATTTTTTTGAAATCTCATATTTTCCGACACGAATCGGTCCTCTATCTACACGAAACCAGCCACTCCACCCACTCACCGAGACCGCATCTTTTTTACCCGCTCTCCTACTTTTTCTTTTTTTTTTTATGTTTGATGCGACAGACTTGCAATTTGTGAAATCCTGCCTGTATTCTTGTGGACGGGGCCAAAATTTCAAACAACTTCCGCTACTAGGCATTTTGCAAAAGCAGGGCGGATCTAGTGGAGGGTGCAGGGGTTGCGCCCCCCCTCCCCCAAAATGACCTGCGGTTTTCTAATACAACTGGTATTCCGCAAAATATGCAGATATGTATGATATGTTTGTATTCTCAGCAGTTCGCATTATGTTATTGCCTAGTCAAAAGCCTTCTTCGTAATCGCTTTTAAAATTTGTTTACGTCATCAGTCAGTTACACTATTCCTCAGTGGTGCACCCCCGCTAAAAAAAAAAAGCCTGGATCCGCCCCCTGACAAGTGTATTTAAATAGAGGAATTGTAAGCTTCTACATCAACCTGTGGAGTCTCAAAGTATTTTACCTCTTGTCTTGATAATCCCTCGAGACTGTGACCGTTGATTTCCAAAATTCTATCACCTAAGACGAAATTCACCAAAAGTCACCTTCGATATTGAAATAATTTATAACCTACGAGTAAGACTGAAATACATAACAAAAACTTGGGCTGCCTAATTTTTGGCTCAAGACTCAGCTCCCTCAGAGTTTGCAGGCTCGGCTCTCATCAAACAAGAACTGTCAGAAAATTGGACGAGGCAAAGGAAGTGTCCTCAGAATTTAATAATCCATCTGGCCTAACCACCTAGGTGTCAGAACGGTTGATCACCCAGATCATCTGTAAGAGCCCCGCAAGGGGCTTGGAGCGCTATCTAGTTTTAAGCATTGCAAAGTTGCAGTGTAGTCGTCGATTAACGAGGTAGCATTTCAACCTCGATCCCAAGGCTTTTAGAGAACCCTCTCCTATTGAATAAAGGGAAACCTCTGGGGAGAAGGTTGATTAGATATTTCTACATAATAATAATAATAATTTTAGCGAATAATAATAATTAGAAGAAGAAGAAGAAGAAGAAGAAGAAAATATTGATTTTGTTAACGCACCTATATTGATTTTTCCGCTGAGAGCGGCTGGTCCTTCTGGGGCCATCGTCTTCACGTAAATTCCTCCCAACTCTATGCCACCCTGCAGATTGAACGTTGATATAAGCGTCTGAATCCCAGTGCTCATAATGAGAAGGGGGCAAAAAAGTTTCAATGAAACTAAACTCGACCATATAATAAGTATGTTCACTTTCAAAGGAGCCTTAACACGCAGACCTTTACAAAATTAATGCTTTTTAATATATATTTTATACACATTTATTTACTGGGAAAACATTCAGGACTTCATATTATTTTACCAGATGCTGTGTACTCACGATTATATTAAGACCCAGACTTCCCTCGACTTTCTGTAGCTGAACTGGATGAACACTGACCTGATTTAGATTGGATGGAAAGTGCAAGAGTAAGTTTCATTGACTAGAAAATCTAGAAAATAAGAAATTCTATAAACTTGAGAATAATTGGCCAATAGATTAGTAATTATGAATTACAAATGTAAAGTTTTAACTTTTAAATTTGTTCAATGCGGCCAATTCTCCTTATAAATTAAACAGTATCTGTGTTGTGCGCATGCTTCACTCTCCCCAGTGTCAACGCAAATTTTTTCTCCTTTTGGCTGGGGGAAGGGGGGGGGGGGGGGGTAAAAAAAAATAAAAAAAAAAAAAACTAAAAAAATATAAAAAATAGTGTAAAAAAATTTTAATAATATAAATAAAAAATTAAATTTTTTTTGTTTTAATTTTTTTCAAGGGCCCCAATTCTCTTTATAAATAAAACAGTTTTTGGTTGGTGCCCTTGCCTCCCCCCCCCCAGGTCAAACGCAATTTTTTTCCTGTTTGGGGGGGGGGGGGGGGGGGGGGGGGGGGGAGAGGGAGTGGTGGTCTTTATTACCGGGAAAGAAATTTTTACTAACGTGAAAATAATATTCATAAGATTAATTCATGCCTAAACAGTTTAGCCAAGGAAGCAAACCTTTAACTTTGTGGTATAGTCATTAAATCCGTGATTTTTGCATCAAGAAGAACAACCCTTAAGGTCAATTTCTACAGCGTTTTATCGACAACAACATTCTTTAGTGCGAATGAAGTTTCATTTTCCTTTGGTGAATGTTCGTTTATGAGAATAGAATATCAATAACAATTATTATTTTGACGAGCATTATCTCGCCAATATCGCGTTGAATTTGGAGAAACGCTTTAATTCGGAGAAAATTTGGTTAGCATTGTTTAACCAAAGGTTTGTAAAACGATTCAGAGCAGAGAAATGACAAAACTTTCCAATGCAAATATTGAATGATTCACGGAGTTATCCTTAAAAGGACCGACCTGGACCGGTTGATCCTCTGGCACTGGGACAGAAGAGCCATTCAGATGTATCGCAGGACCAATTCCTTGCGGCTGTATGACCGCTGACTCGTGCCCAGGTTTCTCTGCTGTCGAAACTGGCATGCTTGCAACAGAGTCCGTTTCGTCTGTCTTGACAACACCGTTCATCCTAACAGCTGTGAAGTTGAGGAGTAAAATTAAGAGTTCAAGACGCGAGCACAATTCTTTTAACACCAGGGAGCTTCAGCAACGACGACGACGACGGCAACGAGAACTTCAAAAACAAACAAAACGTTTGGCAAAACAACGACTTTGTACGTGCATCACGCTTTTTTTTTTTTTACATTTCTTTCGTCACTGCTCGACTACGACGTGCACGTTTTTCTGGAGGACGAGAACACAAGACATTAACACATTTCTTTTCTTTTCAGTCTTTTAGAATTCAACTCCAGAAAAATTTGTCTACATTTGACCAATTGAACTAGATGGCATGAGAGCGATAAAGTTTGAAGCAGCGCGAATTCACTTAGTGTGAGTGACATTTTCATAGCCGTCGCAGTCGTTGTTGCTTAAGCTCCCTTCTAACAGATCAGGAGTGCGAGGTGTAACCACACGGCTGAGTTTGAAACTTTATAACTTGAAAACTCTTTGAGCAATGTCCACTAGTAAAAACTTTTCTCCGCAAGCGTTGGAATCTGAAATTTGAAAGTGTTTGGTCAAAATCATATAATTTTCCCTAGCAAAGGATAGCAAGTTAGGCTGGCCTAAATGTTGAGTTTTAAACTGATGTTGCAAACATAAATTTCTAAAGGCAGATGTTTTAAGGTGGGTTTAGAATATTCCTTTTTATTTTGCTCAATATTTTTATAGCTTATAGTTATTTTCCGTTATGATGAGAATCGAACTTGGAGGATCCTATATGGCAGCCATTTTTAATCACGTGACATAATCCCAACATCGCCCACAAGATCTGATGGCGTTGCGTGAACAACCTCAACGTGTACTGTAATTTTAGTCCTAGAGGCCTTGCAAATATCAACGTCGAATCTCAGTTTAATATTTTGTTTTCCTAAGCTACTCAATAATATTGGCTTAATAAGCATGGAGTAAATGGAACTAGAACCAATCCAAATCATCAAGCAAGGAGACGAGATAGTCATGTCATGATCGTCAATATAAAATAGTGTTAACTGCAGAGTGATCAAGGTATCAGTGTTTACCTCCATCTCTGGGATATTCCTTTAGACTGGTCAACTTCATTCCCATCATCATTTGAAACTTGTAGAACGACGTACACATTTTAAGCAAATATCTCGACCTATCAAAAACGACCAAGAATGTAAAACAAAGAAACTTAGTAAGCTCAGCAAGAGGCTGACGCAGTAAAGCCAATAGAGTCTTATTATTCTGGTGGAAAAAATTGCCAGTCCTATTCACCTAAGTTGCCATTGGGTGCAGCCCTTTTTTATTATTTTTTTTTTCTTTAAAGCGAACGCCAGAAAAACTTTGCGGAGTCTTGCAGAAATTAGCTTTTTACGTTGTCGCAAATTGGCTTTTATGGAACTGAACCCTGTAGTACTGATCCATTTTCGCGGCAAATTAATGTACTCCTGGCAAAAAAAGTTGAAGCCAAAACTCCAACTACACTGATAACTACTCTGTTAACAGTACAAACGACTGCAAGAAAAATCAGGTACAACAGCGTCCTCGGTATCAAAATGTTTTGCTGAATTCTCGTAGACTTACTTCTTGTAGCTGCATGTGTACAGGACCATCTTGGACGTCTCAGGATCACCGTGCGCTTCGATATAAAAACGTCTCCGCTAAGGAAAATAACGAGAATTAACCTCGTCACAAGACATTGCCCATAACAATAGACCTGTTTCGAGGACGAAATGGTGAAGAGTATATACGCTAATTTTATGGAAGCGATTTATTATTGACTGTAAACTGCATGAATAATATTAGATTGATTTAATCATTGAACACAACATAGAAGACCTTATTCACGATACCCGCCATTTTTGTTCCCGCTTTCGGATTAATCAGTGGCGGATCCAGGGGAGGGGCCTGGGGGCCCGGGCCCCCTTATTTTTAGACCAAACGGGGGGCCGAAATTAATTTTTTGGAGACCGGGTTCCCCTCTTATCCCTGAGTCTGGAAAACCCCCCCCCCCTCCCCTTATCTCAACGTCTGGATCCGACACTGTTAAAGGCATAAAAGCAATGTCACGTGGTATTTCGTGGGGAGGGCGTAACAAGCGATAAAATTTGCCAGTATGTGTAATCGCGGTCTTGTATCAAAACAAGACGACGAGTTAGTTGGGTTAGTCAACGAGTTAGTCGAGTTAGTTGGGTTAGGTTAATCACTTCCACTCATAACTTGCCATCATCGTCTTTAAGATGAAAAGTTCTTCATTTTCTCAGTTGTCTAGATTTAACAAACTCGACCACAATTTTTAGTTTATCGGTAGATGTTGTCACTCGTTTAATTTGCCCCCTGACGTTGCTTTTGTTCCATCGCTCCTTAAGCGCGTCGCTCCGGCGTCGTGATTAAGGTCTGTTGAAACAGCAAATGCGCCAATCAAACGCGCAAGCTTCGTTTCCGCAATTCCGGAAGTGACATCACCAGACCCAGTCTCCGAGCCGGTGGTCAGTACATTGCAGGGGGCAGTTACTGAGCTTGACCTTCAAACATATGTTCGAATGAGACAAAACCTTATTAGACAACTATCGACGAAAAGTAAAATAACAAAAACAACCTTTAGGTAACGTAGATACGTTAAGTAGTTACTAAACTAAGACATTCAGGTCCAAAAATACAAATAAATGAATAAATGTACTAACGTGGAAAGCCATTCTTTTGATGTTCTGCCACGGATGACGAAATGTTGGGCTCTTAACGATCCCTCTTTCCTTAAACATACGAGAATATTGTGTTATCAGTAAATATGAGGAGGACAAACACAATTATACTGGTTATTAACAATACATGCCTTAATCCTTCTGGGAAATGATACGAGGGATAGTCCAAGTTACATAGACTGTTTACTTCCCATTATTGTTCACTTACCCTATTTATTCGATTAACCGCCCTGGGCGCTTATTACATTTTTGGACTTTGAGAGTGGGGCGCTTATTCGAGGCTGGGCGCTTATTAAATTTTCACCATTTTCAGTAAGTTCAGTATGTTTATTTTGCAACAAAACAATGAATGGTAATAACAAAACGCGAACATGTAACAAAACAAGGTTTGAGATGGCATGAGGCCCTTTAAAAGTGGCGATTTTGACGAAAATGTTGATTTTGGCGAAAAATCCCCAAAGCCTTACCTACAAGTCAAATGAGGAGGCAAAGAGACCCTTTTTGAAAGTGGCGATTTTGACGAAAACGGAAGCATGCGTAGCAGTCGTCTCCGTTTCCTTTAGACCAAGTGGGGTAAGCACGCCTTGTTTCTTCCGCTTGGCTCCATATACAAAGGAAACTGGAACGACTGCTACGCGGGTTAAAGGAAAAGTTTTGATCCTGAGTGTTTCCAATTGATAGTGTTTTTGACTTTCAGACACCTGCCACACTAAGTACTTAGTAAATTTGGGGGGATGGTGGTAGGGGGGAGGGGTGGAAATTGCTTGCCTATAATTTTTTATCCGTTATTACGAATTAGATGACAAAAAATAGGATAAACCTACCTCGTAGACAATAAGACCTCGTACACTTATTCCTAAACTAAAACCTCCTCTCTTGTCTTTTTTGTACTGCAAAAAACATAGTACACTGGGTTTTGAGCATCAATCGCATACCGTTTGGAGTTTAAAGAGCGCCAAGAAGAATTTGGAAGTATACATAATAACGCCTTTATCGTTCAAATTATCCCTACTTCACCAGGCCTGCTAACACATATCGGAAGAATCAGTGAAGTACACAAGTTTAAAGCATTGATTAACTTAAATTAGCTTTGAGAGTTTTTCATTCCTTTCCCGGCTTAAGATGAACTTAACAAATTGGCCTGCTCCCAATGTGTGGGTCTTCATCAAATCAAATCAAATCAAATCCTTTATTTAGACACGTAACACCCAGGAGCTCCAAAGTTCTCGTTAGAACGTGTACGTGTGCCCAAACAAAAAAAATGAAAAAATAAAATAGTAACCTATACATTACTACTATTAAAATACTATCTATAAATAGATCTACAAAATGGCTAAAAGCAGAATCTAAAACTAAAGCTATTTACAGAAATTACAACCCTTATACTACTACATGAGAAATTTCTGCAATTTGATTGGCTTAAAGCAGTGGTATTTCAGCTTAATTTGAAATACCTACATGTGAAAATTACAAACCTTTTGTGGGTAGTAGTATAAACAAATAATAGCATGATTTGTACGTGATATTTGGCATTTATTTATGCCAAATATAACTACTAATCATGCTATTACCTATACTTACACTTTAATTAAGCCATGTAAGCTTAAACGACGCAATGCTAAAATGGTAGAGCAATGCAGCGCTAACGCAGAGGCCATGGGTTCGAATCCCGTGGAAGTCCCGAATTCTTTTTCAGGTTTATTTGTAATTGCGTAAATTGCAATAACCACTGCGACGATCATATCTTCGTTTAAAAATTTGCATTTCCGCAGTTCACATCATCTTCAGAAATCTTTCCATTAGTAAAGAATTGTGAGTCACTCTATAAACCATTCTCATTACCGCAGTTATAAGAAATTGGTTGGATTTCCTAAAGAGGGTTCTATTAAGCTAGTTTTTAATTTAAGTGAGCATCAAAAGAAATCTTCCTGTTACCTTGGACACCTTGTTGAAGATAATCCCATATTCCTGTAGTTTCTGTGCTTCCTGAAAAATGGTTAAGCGCAAGGAAAGTTTGTTTGATTAAACTTTGTTTACAATGAACAGAAGTTTAACCGAACATAGCGGCTAATAGTTAAAGCGAACTGGGTTTGCACTAGAATTTCTGAATATCGCCAAAGAAAACGTTAGAGAGAAAGGAAACTCTGCTGCATTCCTCTTTGGCCCTAACAAGGAAACAGACGCGAATAGCAGTTTCTCCTTTCGTCATATAGTTAGCCCCGGGGGGTACTCAACAAAGTTTTATATGGGGAGGCTCCCCCCAGAGGTAAGGAAGTAAGGAAGTAAGGAATATTTATATATGCACGCACGGTTGTACAGATTCATCAGGCATGAAATATAAAAAATTTAAAAAACTGTAATTACATTTACTGGGTTTCGCTAAATAGAGTATTAAAATTATTCAGTTAAGTATATACGAAAAAAAAGCCGGTTTTCCATGAATGGCGTGCCTTACTTGATATTATAATAACTGTGCAAAAGTGACTTAGAATTAAGTAGGGATTCTGCTTGCCTTAAAGTTTCAGGAAGACTATTCCACAAAACAGCACCACTGTAGCGTAAACTATTACGGAGATAATTAGTGCGTGGCTGTGGAATAGTTAATTTATTTACAGAATCTCGAAAAGTGTATGAAGCCTGACAAAGGTACTCCATCCTGGAAGAGCCTCCCCGTATAGACCATTATGGTCCCCCCCCCCCCCCCCCCCCCCCCCCCCCCCCCCTCCACAACCCCGGGATATTAAGACAAGAACCATGTCTTCATGGTATTTCACAGTTTTCAGACGGCCAGCATTCGTATACTTCAGATTGGTTACCCAAAAAATTCCTGAAATCAAAATGATAAATATTAGGTAGTAACAATATTTTTCGAGGGACAAAAAATAAAGTACGGAAGGCTTAGTCCACATTACGGTTTCTACTTCACTCAATTGATTTTCCTTCCTATCCTTAATTCTCCAGAATCCATCTTGACTTCCTGTTTATCGACATTATACTAAATCAAAGTATACAGGAATCCCGGACGCTTTATAGCTATCAAAAGGTTTGGAAGGTTACTGATAATAAAACAGAAATGATTTACCTGTGCGTCTATCTGACTTTTGCCGTTTTGGAATGCATTTACATTTTCTTCGTTAACCTGTTTACAGGCCCTTTCAGCTTCTTAAAAATTGTCAAAATACGTCGCGAAAAACACAGAAAATAAACTAGGAAAAACGTCTGTAGACAGGCTATCTTCAAAACACAGTCGCTTCAGACTCTTCAGAACCGTCAAGTATTAACTATTTTAATAGTTAATACTTAAAAATCTCACGGAGAAGAAGTGTTAGGTTACATAATAATTGGAAATTGAGACGTTTTAAAATGTCGTCTCCAGGTTCTCACGCGTCTGAAGCGATTATGTTTTGAAATCTAACGGAGAAACTGTCTTCGCTTTAATGCAAATTCCTTCCAAAACGGCAAAACACAGACAAAGACGCAGAGGTAAATCTTTTTTTTTTCATATATATTTTGTAATAGTACAAAAGGAATAGAGCGTCCGGGCTTCCTTTGCAAACTACGCATGTACTACTCTTGGTTTCGCTCTCGACTGATGAAGGTCCAGCGTGGAGCAAAGGAATGCGGCTCTTTTTGCATGCTAAGTAAACTAAACTGCCAAATGTTTACCCACCTTTCCGTCGCTGGAATAAGGCATACTAACCTTCAAATACTCTATCTCAGCCTGAGCATCACTGAGACCCGTATGAGTCTTGTGCATTGATGGAAGTTGTTTCTTGATGGAAGATGCTGTCAGTTTGGCGATTGCCTTGAAAATAAGACAAGCGAGTATCAAGATATCAGCCCCCCCGCTTTTTTTACGTTTTACAAAGGTGGACAAATCCTTAAGATCTCCTTTGTCTCACAACACTTAAATGTAAAGATCGTCGAGATCGAGCGCTTTGTGTTACGGCTCGCCCCCTTCAGTATATTTGAAGATCAAAATGGCCTCCATTAATGGTAGGACGCGCTGATATCTCGACGATCTCACGGGAAAATAGGGGACTGTGAACAGTCTATCGCTATCTGAGAAGGAAATTCGTCGGGTCGAAAATAGTAAATAGTTTGCTATAAATGAGAAGTCCCTTAAAATGGGTATTTCAGACGAAATCGAAGTCTCGGCGATCGCTTTTGATGAAAGACGATCTTAGAGATTGACAACGTGTGTAAAGAAATCTGCCATAAACTGAGTGTGCTGCACGTTCAGAGTTCTTGTTTTGCTTACAAAACATGTTGCTTTTCATTTATTTTCTCGTTTCCGTCGTGGTCGTGGTATCGGGCGTGCCCCGATATCGATGAAATTAATCCATAGTAATTACTGAATCTATTGACATCGGAAATTGAGTGATGAAACTTAAAGATCGAAAGAGTTGTGAGTATCGATTGTCAATGGTAATCGTTTACACGATTAATACGATTTCAGATACATTTGAGCAAGTAATTGAAAGTCTTACCAACTGTAATTTTTTCTCTTCCCAAAAACATTTCTGTCGTTCAATTGCTGCTTTTCCTCTAACATGTCTTAATTTGTCCAAAATACTCTCTCTTTGAAAAGTCTGATCAGTTGAAACCCGTGACACGTGGACAACGCCCTTTAAATAGCCCTCTATAATCTACGAGAACAGACGCGCACGCGGATTCGTTGAACAACGTACATTTCTTGATAATGCCGACCTTTAAAAATAACAAGAGATCCTACCACTTTCCCCGTTTTCCTCGTACATGCAAAAACTATAACACAGAAAAATTCCGATTGCCTCATAATATTGCAGGTTCTCCTCAGGAGTAAGGGAGGGTGGGTGGGAGCTTACTTGAGTATGAGTGGGAGAGGGAGAAGGTGGGGTGGTTGCTTGTTCGAATTAATACGGTATGTTCGGCTTTTTTAACTCTATTTCACTGTACTATAAGGTTGCTTACTCTCTGGGGAAGATAGTGCTCAGGAACGAAGTAGTCGGATCCATGCAGGGTCTGATTGTAATCTCCTACTTCCGCTTGTAGAGCGTAGGAAGCTAAAAGCATCGCTGTTTCCTCGTGGACATAAATCCCTCCTTCTAAGACATCCTTTCGTAACTGAAGGTAGTACAAGTGCCGAGTACACTGTTGTCTAACGCAAAAAAAAACGCAACATATTAACTACTTTAAGATGAAATAATCATTCAAACAAACAAAAACACTTTTATTAATGAAAGTGAAAACTTTTAATTCTTGGAAACTTACTGTAAAAGACAAATGTTCTCCACGTAATACTTCACACGGAAGAAGATCGTAAAAACCAGCGATGAATTGCACGAAACCTGTACAGAAAAGAACACTATCAATAACTAAGAACAAGAAATGTTTATCAGTTGAAGGTACACTACACAACAATTTAATAACTGCTTCATTACCCATTCAAAATATTTCTAAGTTCTTAACAAGCTTACCTAGTACGTAACTAAATAATAGACAGATTTAACAACAGGACGGGAACATCAGTTGACAACGGGAAAGCCTGCGGAAAGGACTAAACGCGACTTCCCGTCCCCAATTTGCCGCTCTGCTATTGGTCAAACCAGTTGTGTAATTTGCGCGCTCTGTTGTCAACTAACGTTCCCGTTCTGTCGTGATCTGTTACTAAATCAGCCTAATACTCGCTGTGGCGCAACTTTGTTGTAGGGTTAAAAACAGAATAAATGACGAAATACTAACATCGTCTTTCCAGAGATGTGGAGCAAACTTTGCAAGTTTCGATAGTTTTTCGCTGAAGTCCAAGAACTCGTGTTCTCCATCTGTCACAAAGCAGTAAATATGTTACAATTTTTAAGCCCATAACTCTGAGAATCTTTGGATTGGTTTAGATTTCAGTAAAACTGCCCAACTACCCTTTCCCGAAGCCAACATTTTGTAATGAATGAGAAGTAAGTGACTCGCAGTAGTCACTAGAGACGTGATGAACAGTAATGAGAGCCTCACCGCTTTTCAGGGAATACAAATTTTACTTTTATGCGACGTTTTCACCGCTGCAGCTGTCATAGTATCTTAAACTCTCTACTTGAGGAATTGAAGGGTGGCTGGAGAACAATTACTTCCGGTCCTTGCCTAAATATTGAAGGAGTGACGTCACGTTTAAGCTGCTTTTGCACAATTTAAAATAATCTTGGCGGTCAACGATCGATACTGTGTTTTTACAATCTTTGGAATAGAAGATGAACTTTGAAAGCTCGGACAATGGTTAATAACCAAACACACTTTTCTGATTTGTGATCAGAAAAATAATGCCCTTTCTGGGGTAACTTTGTCGGTTAAAGAATTTAAGTTCAAGCATTCGAACAAAGATTCAAATAGTACTTTTTGTGATCACGCGGCAGCCATTTTGTTGAAAATGGATATCTGTCGCTAAGGTTTCCAGATATGGTAAAAGTGAATATTCACGAGCAACTGAACGCGAGTTACACGTTTCAACTCCTTATGAGTTTCTGATAGTACTCAGTATCTCTTCAGTTCGTTGCGCGGAATTTTAAACTGAGCTATGACAAGTCTGTTGTTACTACTCAAGCGCACACTTCGTTTTATTAATCACCTTTTATGATCATAAGTCCAAAGAATATGGTTTCTGTAAGACCAAGATGTTCAGTGATGACATTGTACAAGTCTTGACCAGTGGCAGAAGCCTGCAAGAAAACGTGCCTACTTATCAAACAATTTGCCCCCTTAAAAAAAAACAAAAACAAAACAAAACAAAAACAATCAAAACAGTCCGTGGAGACTCATCTTTCTTTTCGTTTCTCTTTTTCTACTCATTGCCACAATTTGAGAAGAATCTATAACAGTTTGATAGCTTGCTTTCTCGTAAAAAAAGAGCCTCTCGCCTTTTATCCTTCCTCATAATAAAATAAATACGTAAATGAATAAATAAAAGCAAAAGTGCATCATTTTAACTTAGTACCCTATTGTCAAAATTTTGAACATTATGCTTTATCATGTAACAAATCAAGCATCTCCCACATGACAGATTTTGGATATCATTAATCAATTTGTCCTTAATAAACATGCATTACCATTGCATGTCAAATAAACAGTAACTGTTACCTGAACTCGAACATTTAGTCTTTCTCCATTTAGCAAGACAACGTTGATCAACTTGTCACCCTCGCCGATCTGAAAGCAAAGCATATGATCTTGTTAAATCTCGTCCATCTTATACCGTGTCCATATTTTTCTTGGGCAGTGCTACTAATGAGAAGTAGTAGAGAACTGAAAGTGATTTCAACTAGAAAGAGAAAAACACTTAAAATTGTTGACAAAGGTTGTAAGGTGTTCTAAGGCAAAGCAAAAAAAGTGCTCAAAACGACAATAAAACTATGACGCCTTTGTAAATATACGAACATGTATAGACATTGCAAACTACCCGGAAGCTATCACATTGCCATACCAAGTGCAAAAACCAAGAGCCTGAGAGTGAATTAGTGGCACTATTCAATAAAGTTATCGGGAACTTTTGGCCAACTACGCAAGTGCAGTTGTAAGTAACATAAATGTGTTTCTCGTGCGAGAAGAAACAAATTTTCTTCGTGCAGGAAGTACTAACAATTCATAAGAGGACGTGCGTGAGCCAGAAATCGATAGGAAAAAACTGTAGCGTGCAAGAAAGAAGAAGGAAGAATGAAAAAATAAAAGAACAAGAATAGATGAAAGGAAAAGTACCAAAACGCCTGCCTCCTCGCCCTTGTCGTCTGCTCTTCTTCCCGCCTGAGTGGCACAGTTACAGAAGAAATATTACAAGTTAGGCATTGTTTAGAGATGTTAATATGAAGAGTATAAAGTTGTTATTGGACCTGAAAAGTCCTCAATTAATTCTCATGCACGAGTGATGTCACCCTGAAGAGACAAAGCATAAGTTATAGACTTAAAACTGAAACTAGGAAGATCAAAGCCATACAGATGATAAGAGAAGATAAAAAAACAAAGAAGAATAAGCTCTTCATCGACTAAAAGGTCCATACCAATGAAATAGAAGTTATGCAGACAGAAAAATTAGTTTTTTTCTCTTCCGAGATTAAGCATGCGTTCAAGTTTTAAAACTTAAAATTGTAAATTTTTCATGAAGATGAGAGGGGAAAAAAATGGAAAAAAAGAGTATATAACCTTATTAGAGAGGAGCTAAGCTGCTCCGTAGAAATGTTCTTATTAGCTTTTGAAGTTTAGGAAATGATTATTTAATAATATCAAGGAAATAAACTACTGATGAACTTAGAAAACGGATACCTGAATGTAAAATAAATGGAATTAAAGTCATGCAGAATGTTTGATAATATATTCATTATTAGTAAAGGAAAAAATAATATTTATGCCAGAGACCTTTCTAATGAGATTTACAAATAAAACCGAGAGAAGAAACTGAGTACGAATGTGTTATGGAGTCAAGAGTAAATGTCAATTAAACTGTTTAATATATGGACGAGTCATGCTATTAATAGGTGTAAGTACTTTTTTACCGGTATACTTTACACGCTACACAAATTGACTGAAATATTATGGGATATGGCGCAACTGGCGACCTGTGAACGCCCTCCTGAGGGAGCGCGAGGGTAAAAATTTTACCTTATATATTAGCGATCATAAAATTCACTTTTTTTGTTTACCTTGTTAGACCTACAAATAAAATGTATGAGAAGAACCATAGAAAAACGTTGAGTTTATGTACAAAACGCAGGAAAGAATGAAAAGTCTCCCACATTGATTTCGATATGAGTTTGAACATAGTCAAAACAACATGCTTACATTTGTGCCAATGTGGGTGCTAAACAAAAATCTTTATGAAATATTCAGTATCATAACATGTTAGTAATACATCATCTTAAGCTAAAAAGGAATTTGCAAGGAAGTTGGCGTATGAAAGGCAAATGAAGGTTTTGAGCTGTTGGAAATGAAGACGTATATTACATTAGATAAACTAGTATGTTTTTATTATTATATATTATTCGAAGTGCATCGAGAAGAAATATTATTAGGCTGATTTTATGAGTCAAAGCAAAGGTTATTTAATTACATGCCTGGATTGTTCTGGCATTTTGGCAAGTGAATGAGTGTCTGACCAACAGCGTCTGAAAAATTTATCCTAAGGAAATATCTGCTTAACTAACCATGAAGAAAGTGAGAATAATAGAAACGATCACTCAACATGGATTCTTTTTAAAAAAGTAAGAAGTAACTTAATTAACTCTCTCTTTTACTGGCTATTTTTAAACATTATAACAATTGTCGGATTAAGATCACTTCCAAGAAAATGAATGTTGATAGTCTGGCTTCAAGGATCAAGGACCTAATATGAAAAATTCCATTTAATGTAGAAATTAATTAGCAAATAATTTCGATGAAAAAGTTTTCAAAGGGCATAAACAATAGATAAAACTTGAACTTTGAGCAAAATGCACCGTACACTGCACTTCTAATTAGTCTCTTCCGTTGCAAATTCCCCAGCAGAACCATCAGCAACTAACCTTGATGTTTTTAAGTAATTTGAGATCTTTTTCCAAGATTCTTAATTGTTTTATTAGTTAAGAGTGTCCAATTTTTAACCTACTAGGTAAATAGGCAGTTGTCCCTTTCGTAAACGGTCGCTGCCATTTTTAAGACACTTAGAAAATTTTTGACCTACTGTTATTCCGAGGAAGCGTTTCTATTAAAAAGAAAGAAAATGGCAACCCAGGGTCGAACCAACTGATCTCTCCCCCTTACCACTAGACTATCACACCGACCCGCCAAAATTCCCAAAAAATTAAGTACAATTACACCAAATAATAACGTGGGCTTCAACTTCGTTTTTTCTATACCCTGAGTACCAGAGATTTTTTCTCGCGTGTGAAGAGCAGCTTCGTTGACCGCAGGCCGACACGTCTTCGACCGAAGGCCGAAGACACGGGTGGCGAAGCTTTTCGCGCGGGTCCCTTTTTAAGACTTGACCGAAACCGGAAACCGCGCATGAAAAGTCTCTGGCACCTAGGGTATTCTCTCTAAGACTATTCAAAAACGTATTATTTGCCTTATTGTAACTCAATCCAGGGAATATGTTACATCTACCATGACTAAAGACTTGGTTACCAATGGTGGCATCGACCTTTAAAAATGACAAAGACCGTTCACGAAAGGGAAATAGGCGGTAAACAGAGACTACAATCCAGTTAAATTGGAAGTTGCCTGCATATAACTTCAACTGTAATTCTCAAGGATATTGAGAACTTTAATTAGTCTGTCAAGTCTGCAAAAGGTAGTTGGAACAATCCCAGACTTAAACCAGGCATTCATTGAAAATGTAAAATAATTAAAAACTGGCCAAGGTCAATTGTGGGAGCCACAGCTAGTTCACATCTTGTCGCCTGTTGTTTGGCATGAAATGAACTGTGATTTTGACGTGTGCTTGTTCCAGTATTCGACATTATATAGTGCTTCTGTGCAAAAAAAAAACGTTTTGAACATAAAAGAACGAAAAACTTCCTATTGGAAAGTAAAACTTCATCTCTGCAGTTTGACCGTAATTGCCCTTTTGCCGATGGCTCCAAGAGAATTCAGGCCAATTGACCTCAGCATGTACGTATAAGACGACCAAGTATTTAGAGGAAATTTTATTTCTCAAATAAGCTGTTTTGCTGAGAGGTAGTTTGTGCACTCCAAATTTTAACAGCCTTATTTCCAAGATGTTCATTAACTTCTCTTAGTTGCACTCGAATCTAATCTGGACCATAAATATTTAAATCAAATCAAAGAGATGCAGACGGAACTCGTTTAGTATTACCTTCTGGTCAAAGACAGATTCCTTGTGTGCGTTTTAAAAAAGTTGTGTAAAATCTATCGTTTATTTATTTATTTATTCATTTATTTACAATATGGTTGGTGTACATATAGATACTGCTTATGAGTTTTTATTTGGTATCCAGAAACCCCTAACTAAGTAATAAGCTGCATAGGGTTAAGGACATTTGATGATATTTGTTAAAAGCTGAAACAAAAGCACACCAGGTATATAAATTGCAGATCAGTTCATACCAAACAGAAAGCATAATCAATATGCTTAATTTATTATTGAAACAAATTGGGTTTATTCCAATGCTTAGAATTGATTAACAGTAAATTCAACTTCACTGCCAACCCGTATATAACATTTATTTTCAGTTTTTGTTTTATGTTCCTGCGTAGTAGATACGGAAAAAGAGAATGAACCATCTTAAAAATAAGCACGTCTTATAGTCCTTTCCATCCAGCGGTGTAGACTGATCAATTTAGCTTCAATAAAACATTTCAGAAAGTCGTTTCAGATCTGACCATCAAGTGTTATGTTCATGCCTGGATGATCGCCACGGGAAAGCTTTGAAATGAGATTAGGACCAAGTCCTGCAGCGTTTTTTGAAAAATGTTGTCGTGGCGTTTCTCCACTTGTGGTAAAATGCGTCAAAATAGATATAAAAATAGTTCCCAATTTGCTCTGGTAATTTTCTCACAGCACGAGTCGTTCCGAATTCTTATGCAGTACATCAATGGGAAATGTAATTTCAGTATGGTCAAAAGATCCGTTCTGCAATTAACACTAAGGATAAGACAAGATAAAACCCACACCTGTAGGAGCAGATATCGCTCTACTGTTCGGAAATAACTGGTCAGGAATTACATCATTCTGTTTATCTAATCAAAGTATTAAAATTTTACACATGCGGCGATTATTTTGTCGACACTTTTTATCCCGGGACGAAACCCTTCCTTTGCTGACCACACCATTCATCCACTCTCTAGAAAGTTTTCCGTTTAACTTTCGTTTTGAGCAAATAACCTTGAAATCTTCATTACACTTTGTTGGAGGTTTTAAACGACTGAATTTTTCAACAAAAACCGAAACTGAATAAATGCACAATTAGTGGAACCTCGATATAACGAACCTCTATATAACGAAGTCCTTGGTAGATAACGAACATTTTCTTTACCCAAGTAAAGTAATAAAGTATATGAAAAAGAACGTTGATATAACGAAACCTCGTTACAGCGAAGAAATTTGGCAGTCCCTTAGCCCTTCGTTAACAATGAGGTTCCACTGTACTACAAGGCTCTTTCGTCGTTTTCCTTTTCCATCCTTTAATGTGTTATAGGACTTTCTGAGCAGTTCGCCGTAAAATGTATTGCGCTTA